CCAGATTTTGTCTTTTCTATCCTTTGCAAGGAAATTGTATAGGAGTTTTTATTAATTTTGGCTTAGATCACAGGAAGAATTCTAAACTCAGACTGACTCTGCTAGCCTAGTGCTGTGCTCTTTGTATGCCCTTTTCATCAACAAATGAATGACGAAATTCACTTTTGTAGGGTGTGTTGGGTTTTTTTTTTTTCAGTGCAAAAGAAATAGCTCAGTGATTGTATTCCAAACAGAAGAAAAGCAATATATTACTTGCTCTATAAAATTACACTAGAAATTGCTGAAAAAATTGCAACAACCCTCCTTCTTTTTTAAAATATCCTCTACACTCTTTAATTAAAATTTAAAGTTTTCCACAGCCAAAACCATTGGAGACAGAGGAGAACTATCTTGGAGATGTTCATTAATTTTTTGTGATAGCTCAAAAAATTCAGAGAAAAATATTACTAATTTTTTTTTTGCCTTGCCTTGTTTATTTTTCTAAAGGAGAAAAAATATGCCCAGATCAGTTTTAGTTGCATGAGATTTACTTGTCTGCTTCAGATTTTAATGTCTGGTTTCAGTAGCTTTATTTGTTAGAATGCTCAGAATATATAAGTATTAGTTGGCATTATTGAGGAATTTGTTCAAGTGCTTCTACTACCTCAGTTCATGAGGCAACGGCTGAATTCTCCTCACCTGAATTCATGGATAATCTCACGGATACCCAGGAACAGGATCATACTAAGAGTTAATAGGTTTCCAAATCAGAACAACATACCAGAAATATGACTTTACCTTAAGAGCTTTTTAAAAACACAATGCACATGGCAAAGAAAAAAAAAAAAAGAGAGAGAGAGAGACCCTAGGTAATAACTCTAGGTAAAATATCTTTACAGCCAGGAATTTTCCCTCTTGATACTCAAGGGGCTGTTTTCTGATTAGCCGTTGTATCAGTTCGGGATGATTTTTTTGTGAAAGTGTATGTAGATAAAGACCTTTCTTTTTTCCCAGGTACATTTGTAACTATATACACTTGTGAAGTTCAAAAGATTGAAAATGCAATTATTTTTCTCTAATTAGAGAATTTGTAATGACTCTGCTGATTTTTAGGCTTTAGAACTGCAACTTCTACCATTACTTGTGTTGTAATTATCTACTGCCCATCTGTTGAACACCTATGAGCTGCTTGTAAGCAGTCCTGTATCTGAAGGACCCCACACCTCTGGTGCTTCCTCTCTTTTAATTTCGACTACAACTCAGATTTCAGCTTGGGCAGCCCGTAAGGTGCTTTAAATCACGCTGCACATCTCCCTGTTTTTCTCAGAGCGCCTTGGCAGATAGGAGTGTGCTGTGAAGCGCGGATGGCAGCTTATCTCATTGAGAGCATGGAACAAGCCCCTCGCAGGCCCTGGTGTTAAAGAGCTCGACTTATCTGGGACGAGTGGCAGAGTGCCCTGGCTCAGCTTGCACTGTATTGCACCCAGGGACATGGCTCAACGTGTTGCTGTCAAACACCTCCCAACACGCTTGAAGTGAATTTCCGAATCAGGAAGCTTTAGGCAAAAAGGGCCCCCATCCCCTGTAACAGCGCATGGAAAAATTATTGGCAACCACTATGGGCTCAAGCCTTAATGGTCTTTTGTCTCAAAGTTAGTGTATTTTTAAATGATGAACTAGGGTACCTCGGGGTACCCTTGTACCTGTACTGGGTACCTGTAACTATCTGTATAGTCCGGGCTGTCCTAGAAGCTGCAAAGAACATCCTTAAAAGAATTCCTTGTACTGCTTCTCCCCTCTTTCTTCCTTTACATTCTCATAGCAGCTCTCATCCTAGCACCAGGCATTACAAAGCCATTTTTAAAAGAAACAGATAAAGAAAGAAGAAAGAAAATTTTTTTTCTGCTTTGACTTCACCCAGCCAACAAGCAAGAGTGTTGGGTCTTCCCTTCTTACCAGTGCTCCTGATCAGCRAGCGATTCCTGCTTGTCACATTTACTTTTCATCCTTTGTTGCATCTCTTTTCTGAAACAGAAATGATTTCTCTCATTTATATTAGATCTAGTGAGTCTTCGCTACATATGTTTCCAGAATCTTATGTCTTTGATTAACACACACTATGTGAATGCAGTACTTTAATACATAAATAAAGAAAATAAATACAGATATTACAGTGAAGAAATTGGAATTACTGAGGGACTGAGAGAGCTTCAATTAGGGAAAATATCTTATCTCAGAGGTGTGGAAATCTGAAAGAAAGAATTCTAATCCTCTGCATCTTGACCCAGCTTTTGCTCCCCAAGTAACAGGTTTCAGGTTGACAGAAATTCATTTCATTTTATTTTTAAGTTATGCTTTGCACCTACTCAGTGTTCTTACTAGCCCAGCGATGGCAAGATCTCACTCCTTAAAAATAACCTTGCAGGTGCAATTAAAAAGCAATTTGGGAGATTTCTGTAACAATTTGCCATCTAGTGGTCAACTGAAACTACACTGAGTCCTTACTTGAAGTAGAAAGCAAATAACGCAACTCCAGGTCCAAATTCTGCACCTTGGAAAATCTAGTGTGCTTTTTGAGCAGGACAGTCTCCTTTTTAACCAAGTCACCCTATAAACCCAACTCACTCCCCTCTGTGATCAATAGTTTCAAAACTGAATATCTAAAATTAGGCATCTTGATTCAACCTGAGCACTTGCTTTCCCTTTCCTGATATGTTGCTTCTTTTCTTCCTGCATGTGGATCTTGCCATGCTGTTCTGTATTTGACTGCAGCATTTGGTTCCTGAGTGGTTTTAGAGACACATGCAAGAGACAAGGGATGTTTTTTCTAGCTACCATCTATTGTAAGCAAAAAATGGAGTGGGAAGACCTACCAAATGAGGGCTTTCTTATAGGTATTTAATGGTATTGAAATGAGAATAAGCTTCCATTTTTACTGGGAAAAAGTTTCAGGGCTAATCTCTGATTTTAAAACTACCACAATGGACAGAAGTGACACATTGGGGATTTGACAAAGTCTTGTACGCTGGGAAACAGTAGGTAGCGGAAGGTGTTCAGTGCAGTGAGTTCAATGGTAAAAAGATCTTGGATTAAAGGGCAGCACAGGCGACTAGATAAACTGGTGTCCTTGGCAGTGAGGGAGTGTAGCTCCTTCCTGCCCACTGATACAAGGATCAAGAAAGGTTAATTGCAGCAGAGGTGGAGATGTGACTGGAATGTGCACTAATTCTGCCCCAACAAATGCCTGACATACTTCAGCTGCTTGTCAGTGCGCATCCAATGATACCATTGTTGGGACGCCTTTAATCATCTCTTACCCCCTCCCTTTTCTTTCTTTCTTTCTTTTCTTTCTTTCTTTCTTTCTTTCTTTCTTTCTTTCTTTCTTTCTTTCTTTCTTTCTTTCTTTCTTTCTTTCTTTCTTTCTTTCTTTCTTTCTTTNTTTCTTTCTTTCTTTCTTTCTTTCTTTCTTTCTTTCTTTCTTTCTTTCTTTCTTTCTTTCTTTCTTTCTTTCTTTCTTTCTTTCTTTCTTTCTTTTCTTTCTTTTCTTTCTTTTCTTTCTTTTCTTTCTTTTCTTTCTTTTCTTTCTTTTCTTTCTTTTCTTTCTTTTCTTTTAAGCTGGAAGCACATTAACATCATTATTCTGCTATCTTGGTACAGGATAAATACTGTTTTAACTTATAAAAGCTGCTTATAAAGTATTCTTGATGCACAGGCACATGCGTGCATAGATACTCAGGCATTTCCAGACATGCCCCCATATGCTCCCTCTCTCCTACATAAAATATATTCCCTTCTTTTTATTGAACTAGACTAGCTGAGAAGYTAGCTAAACTTTAAAAGTAAGTATGTGACTTTGAAAGAACCTCTTACAAAGATCAGGTGACCTTGAAGGTAATGAGAGTCACATCTTGATGCTCTTTTCTAGACTCTTTCCTTCAACACCTTTTTTAGATCTAAGCTTGTGCACTTTGGAGCACCAAAATCCTGCAGACTGCTGTGAATAGGATGAATCTAAAAGAGCATTTTCACAATAAAATGTTCTTCTAATAACTGACAGATGGTTTGACCAGGAGCCTATATTGAAAATAACAAATGGAGAACCTGGGGCCAGTTTTCTGGACCCCAAAGGATTGCCTTGCTCTCTGGCAGCCCAAATAAACTACAAACATTCCGTTTTCAGCCTAAAAATGTACACTCCTTCCAAGCATTAATGGAAAAGGATGCATAAGTATTTAACCATTCAGTGGTATCCAGCAGAGGACCATGCAGGCAGCATCAGTACTGCCTCATCTTGCCTTTCCATCAGCTCCTGACCTATAAAATATGCTACAATGCGTAGTGTGCTACACCCTAAACATTGGGGTTTTGACCTACTGAAATTATTAAACCCAAACTCTCACTGGCCTTGCAGAAGTTAAGCTTCTTTGCAAATCACAGGGTAAATTTGTAAAGAATCTGACAGGGATTGTAAAATTCTCGCTTGCTATACAGAACTTTTGCAGCTTGACAACATGCTGTACCGGTCCATAGTTTGGCTTACAGCAGGACCAAATCAAGAGTTGAACATAAAATTCTAGAAGAGGTGAATTTTCTCAAAGTAGGGCTTTGGTTCAGACACACCTCTAAAAATAACATTTAAATCCAATCTGCTAAAAGATGCTATGAAGTGTTATGGTGATTGATGGCAATATATATCCACTCTACCCTCTACGCTTTCATCGGTTTGATCCCTCCCATAGTCTCTCAAGTGATCATATGAGGTGAGTCAGTGCCTGAAGATGCTCAGTGCTGATTCCAAAGGGGACTTTTTCACTAAAAAACGTTCTTCTCCCATTTCTTCATTGACACAAAGCATCTGCTGTAGCCTGCATATATTAGTGTGCCAAAAGAATGTTTATTTGGTTTTAGATGAAAGGTTATAGCAAGGCCTGGTTTAGTTTTGTTATGTTTTCAGATGAAGAAAAGAAAAAGAAACTCTTAAATGCATTATCTTTATTTGCACATGGGAGTTGTGTTGTGTTCACAGATTAGGATAGGCTGATTGAGTCTATGAGTAAGATCTGACCCAGTTTAAGAACACGGCTGCAGTAGAGGAAGCACACAGGAAAACAAACCATTTCCAAGCAGTGGAATTGTCAGGACCAGGTTTAGACGAGTTTTGGACAGATTTTAATGCCCAAAATGCTTGGGATTCCTGCATCGGCGCAATGCTGAGTATTTAGTGGTGCTAAAATAGGAACAAGAAAATGAAGGTATTTTCAATGACAAGCTCCCAGCACGCAGTAGCAAAAGGTCTGTTAATTACATAAACGTTTCCCTCCCAGTTATGGTCCCATTGATCTGAATGGATACCATGTAAAACTTCTATGGTATCTGTGTGAAATACGTGTGTGGTTTCAACCCACTTTTGTGTTCCTGCTTTACTATAGCCAAAGGAGTTGAGGTACCATCCTGGCATATGCTAGATGTATTTTGTATCATCAGGACACAAGTGGGGTACAGCTGTACCCCATGGGTACTTCCTTTGCGACTCTGGGCAAACTACTTACAGAGAGCTGTTCCATAAAGATGCCTAAGATGAGAAAGGTGCTTCAGGGAATTTTTTCAAAGCATCACAGGGCCTTACACTTTTAATTCTACTAGGCAATTCACTTCTCTCTAAAGTGGAGCGATATGTTGCTACCTCACAAAGATGCCACATGGATTTAGGTATAAGAGTTTGAAAGATGCTTGCTTGCTATCTGTAATGGAAGGTTTAGGTGCTGTTATTACTCCTTACCTTCGGTTTTTACAAGTTTGTAGATAGGCAGATCTTTGCAGAGATGCTCAATGGCGCTACCATACATAAACCAATCCTTTATGTTTGCGATTACTGAATTGCCAGGTGTATATTGTACCCACAGATTAGTTGGGGAGAATATCTTCTTCAAAGTCTAAAGAGAAAGCATGAAATATCATCAGCAGTGTAGATTTGGTTTTGGTCTGCTAACATATCTTGTGAGAAAATCGCCCAAACTAAAATTGTTTTCCTTTGGTCTCACACAAAACATTAGCTGAGAAAGCTACAAGTTAAGTAAAATACATACTTTTTAATCTGTTAATTGGTTTTTAATCTGTTAATTAAATGTTCATCTGCCCACTCTGCACAGGCATTTTAAAGAGGTCAATAGTACATTTTGCTCTAGAAGTGCTACTGTTAGGCTGTCATAAAATGGGCCACAGCTGACACTCATCTTCAAACAGTATTCCCAATGAATCTTTGTGAAAGTTTTGCCTGAGTAGGAAAGTCATAGTCTGCTCAGAGTAAATTGATTTCCAAATTCTGTTCTGAAAACAAAATAACTTCAAATACCTCATCCCCAAATATTAGCATGACAATGAAAAAAGGGCAAAAGCTTGTGTGAATTCCTATTAGAAGCACCCAAAATATTCAATCACACTGTTTCCATAGACAAGATATCTTATAGTTCTATCTATAGCTACCACGCACTATAATACTGCAAAGTGGGCCATAATTGTTCATTATCTTAAAATAATATTGTATTTTATATGCATTTGAGGTTTTATCTTACCGTTCTGTTTCATCATTTCAAATCCAATAACATATTTTCCTAACAACAACTGTTCTTAATGTTAGAAGAGAGGGCTTCTGTCATACCACCCAACCAGGCAACTTTCTTAATATACAGTACAAGAATCTCCATACCTGTTTCTCATAAGCCCTGCGCCCAATTTCCTGTATCTCTGGGAAGGATTTTTTATCCATTTTCAGGATAAAGCAGGCATTCCGTGAAAACATCCTTGTTGCAATATAACCCTGTGATAAGAAATTGCAGTTAGTTCATTAAAAACAGCTACCATTCACACTTGGCAGTTCCCCCTATTCTTTAGGGTGAACAAATAAAAAAGATGCTATACAGCCCATGATGACTTTGCACTTACACCGTCAACCTTTGGGGTACTGAAGCAGATTCCTTATATTAATATCTACCTATAATTGTGAAATTTTCTTCTTCCATGGACTTCTGAACTCTTTCATGAATAATCACCATGTATTTCATTACAAGCCTAATGTAAACAACTGCATGATCATATGTATGAGACAGAGATGGGAAAAGGGAATAGAAGTGATGGAAAAGAATGTTTTGAGACAACTCACAAGGACAATATACCACTATATTTTTTTGTGTGTTTAAAAACTCCTCACAGAGATTGTTTGAGCCTAGGTAGATTCTTGGATTTACTTACATGCCAGTAGTCAAAAATGGTATCAGAGGAGTATATCCCAGAACGGATATGGACATCAGCTACGTTTTTACTATTGTCAATAGTCATAGTTGCAGTGACAAAAGCATTTTCAGGTCCTGACAAGTCATAGGTCTTTGGAACAAAACACAAAATAGTTGTTCATCATTATCACATAAATTAAAGTGTTTCCTTTCAAATAATCAAAGACAATTGCTTCACATAAATCCTAACTCTCTTTACAACTCTCTAGCAATGCCAGGAGGTCTTTAAGGTGGAGGTTAAATGCCCAAAAGTTCAATTTAGGGGAAGAAAGGAGGAGACAGAGCCACACTGTAGGAAAAGGTGAAGCACACAAGCACACAGGGCAGCCTGTCACTGCGTGGCAGCAGACACACACGAGGGAAGCCTGCGACAGGCTCCAAACCTTAGCTTGAGCTAATGGGCTACCCACTCGGAATTTCCTGTTGCTATATGGCTGCACAGAACCCCCTCTTGGGCTTGTACAGTTGTCTCCTTTGAGAAAGGGTATTTTCCTCAGTTCCTGGAAATTAGCACTGTGCTTTTCCTCCCATTATATTCCCCCATGCCCAAAAATATAATGCATTTTAAACAATCCATGTAGTAGAAGGCTTCTCAGTCTGCTTACCTTCAATGCCAAAGTCGGAATCGAGAAGACTCCCAGCAAAGCGAGGATTGCAGCCTGTAAAAGGAATACACATTCACATCTAACAGAAACATAGGGCAGTGGCACACCAGCTTAATAAAATATAATAAATTACACTTCTGAATTAGAAGTTAATTAAAAATTAATAAAAACATAAAAGTCATTTTGAAGTGAACAGAAGAAAATGCCCATTTGTATCATTAGAAAGGAAGTTTCTAAAATATAAATTCAATAAAAATGTGTATACTCACAAATCCCTTCATTTTCCTTTCAGATAATAACAAGAGGCTGCAGAAAATGAAAATGGGAAACAGCCCCAGAAACATTCAACTTTTATATCCTACTGGAGGTGTGGGAGACACTTGACAAATGTTCTTCATGACTTGAGCAATTCCATATCTACATGCCACACCACGGTAAGCTGCTTTATCTGAATTTTGAGCTTGCATAGATAACTTGATCCTGATATGTCAAAAACAGTCAATAAGTCAGCTTTCGTAAACTTAATCACTCTACAAATGGCTATTATTTACTGACTTAAACTCTGGAGGAGTTTCAACTCTCGCAGGTTCAAGCTTTTAATATTTAACACGATACTTATCCAGAATTAAATGCTATCGGGAAAAGGTGCTACTCATTTATTCAACTGCGCTTTGTGGACACTTTGCAGACAAACCCTGGAAAGAAATACCTATGTACCAGTAGCCTAAGTGCCAGCTAATGAATAGACCAACTTTATATCCATCCCCTCCAAATAGTGCATGCGTGGCCTTTTCTCATAAAAAATGCTGCTCATAATAAATGCTGCTCTGAAGCATAAGCTTCAGATCTCTCAAACACAGACACATCTATATATAAGAACACAGAAATATGCAAAATYCACAGTATTTAGTGAAGGACAGCCATTTCCTCACTGAGGATATTCACTTTATATTGGTCTGTTTATATTGGTCCGTTAAGGATACCGTTAATCTCTCTGATATTTTCATAACAGCAAATATTTCCAAGTTCATTCTAATGTATTTCAGCAAAATACAATTAAATTACAGAATAATTCACAATTTGTGTAAGCAAAATTACAAAGAAATTTGCCCCGCCATTTGGCACCATCATCCTCTATAAATAATTTAAACTTCAGAACTTGGAAGGAAGAGTGAAATGTACACTTAGACAATTTCAGTTCAAGTCTGGTTGCCAAACAGGAATTTCAACACATAAGGGAGATTCATTCAATCAGGTTCAGGTGGGAATAAGGCTGGCATTAACAAACTCTCCCGGAGACTTTTTTTTCCATGTACATTTGATAAATATTCACCTTATCAGGAAATGAGAAAGTAGTGGGAGGAATGTAAAGAATCAAGCAACACCTCAAAAATCAACAAAATTCTCTGCACTTACCTTTGCATACAACCGGCCATACTAGGTCTCTGAGGGAAATAAGTGATACTGGATCAAGAAACCATGACACTGCCCAAAAAATTCTGTATGGGTAAGGGTCAGGCAAAGCATAATTTAAATTAAACAAGTGGTCAAAAGCTAATCTTCTAGGACCAATCCGACAACAGTTTCAGTACTTTTATTCTTGCTAAAAAATGACATCAGCAAAATCAAATGAAAATTAAAGTATGTGTGTGCCAAACAGAACATTAATTTGAGAATATGRTTAAAATTCATCTAGTTCTTAGCTGTAACTGTTTGCTGTACATTGATACAGCAATTTAATACAGAAAAAGATAATGCTTCGGGCAAAGCTTTAAAAAACAGAAAGACAGACACAAGCTTGTACTGGGCAAAGAACAACCTTGCACAGTAAAGCTCTCCTTCCTTCCCTTTTTCCTGGCTTCTTCTATTGTAATTAATTTCTTGTCTTGATGTCAAATGCTCTAGCTTTGTATGTCTGCCATATAAACTATTTAAGTAATCAAAAGTTGATGGAGGATTTGGGTATTCAGACTTCCAAGTGTGACACATTACTGTAATAGCCAAATTGGCCATGGTTGCTGCAAAAAATGGACAAAGCTGCTTTCCAGCTTGTCGCTGATGACACCGCAGGGCTTAGTATAATACGGGCTGATTTCTCACTGACTTTTCTCATGAGAACTAGTTGAATAATTAAGTATCCAGAGACTACTGGAGCATTTTGTGATATAGAAATAGGCTATTACGCATGTGTTCAAACTTGGAGGCTAAACACCTACCCGTCTCCATTTGGTATGCACAAATTATTTCACTTAATAACCTACTGTTTTTGTTATATTTCATGCCAACTGCACAAAACAAAGTTCTCCATTCACAAGCAAATAACTCATCTGATAGAGTGATTCTATGTTAATTACAAAATACAAATTCAGATTTTTTTTTAAATCTACTTGCTTAATAATAATTGATACAGACTGCCTATTGTTACTGCATGCCCCTTATCCAGTTAACAATCCAGTTTCTAGAACTAGCCCTCAGTTTCTAATCAGATTCTTTCTGTTAACAATCTCTCTAAAAATGCAGAGTCCAGGCCAGAAGACTGGTAAGCAAATCCTAAAAGATAGAACAGTGCTGAAAAGATTAAAAGAGAAAAATAAACAGAAGAAATCAAAAATTTCTATAAATTAGAGCTAATCTCATTTTTGGAGACACAACTTGATGTCTTTTAAATGAATGGAGATAGAAATCTTGCTATTCTCAAAAGTTTATGAATTGTGGATAAAAACAACTTGGTTGAGTCCTTTGTCATATATGCACAAAATGTCATAGAAGTATCAATTAAGTAAGTGAGTATAGGAGTAAGTATCAGTCATTAAGTATCAGTTTTCTATTTTTTTTGTTGTTTTGAAGTTATTATTCATTATATTGAACCTTCCAAGATTTTTTTTTCATCTTCCCATTTGCAATGAATTCAATCAAGCTGATATCAAGGTCTGCTGCTATCAGATCAGTACCACAGGAAGTCATGACTTTGTGAATAGGGGACACTTGCCAGGAAGATAAACCTATTTTAACATTTAACTTTGGTGTGTCCGTGTATAAAACGTAAGAGTACATATCAATTCCCAGCAGAACTTGCCTTTCCTACCATCAAAATGAAGTTCACCGTAAGTAGATGCATCACTTTCTCATAAAAATGTTAAACCTGGGCAGTTTTAAAATTATTCTGTGTCTCTTGGCACTTATTGAATGCTGATTTCCCTAGGCAGTATTATGCATTTATGCAGTAAAAGGGGCAACTTTTTTGTGAGCGCAGTGGTGAAATCTGGCAATGATGTCATTGCATCTGYCTACTCATATCTGAAGGAGGAAGGAGCTCCAACAGCAGAGTGACATGCACATTTAAGATCTAGAAAGTGCAATACTGTCTTATTCCTAACTTCTGGGACTGACTCATAAGGAGCCTTCCTGAGTGACATGAGGTCAGGGCGCAGGTGTCAGCCTCCAAGAGCATGACTGAAACATAGTGGTACTTACAGCACTCTTCAATTGTTGTGGGATAAATCCCAAAATGTTAGTGCTAAATATTCTGAGTCATGCTTGGATCTCACTCATAAAAAGCCTCTTCTTTGAAGTCAATGAATTTTGTGATTTATGCAATATTTGAGGGACCATCTCCAAGGGAATAATTGTTAACAGCAACTATTACTACAAAACAACTTAAGATAACGATCTTAAATCTTACACAAAGTATATTGGCAGTAGTTCTGACCTTAGAGAAATGTGAACAAATGAGAGTCACTGTAATACTGTTTAACCTGGTTTTTGGTACAGAAAAAGATGGTACTTACCTTTATACTATTATTTGGCAACATGAAATATATTATGAGGATGTTCAAGTCGCATGTCTGCAATGTTCTAAGTAGAGAGCTGAGCTGAGTACTGCACCCACATACCTTTTCTAGAGTAGCTGAACAGGCATTACATGTATCTACCCTATGTCTGAAATCCAAAAGCTCAGAGGGAATAGTTCACTGCCTTTTAAAAAAATAAAAAATTATGCCCACCATCTTCCAAGGAGTCTACTGTGTTTAAATGCTCTTCTGTTTTTAAAAAACTGATTTACAGCCATTTTAACACATGAATTCTTTAGCATATTTAAATACTCTTCAGCTAGACCAAACTTTGACAGCGTGGGACACATTACATATACCTGAGCAGGAAGTCAAATTTATTTTTAGACAACAAATAACTTGATGCAATATGCACAGTCAGAGTGTTAATGTGGTAAATTCTGAATGTTTATTTCAGGTTTTGATTGTTACTCTTCTTGGTATTTTCCTGGCTCCAGCTCTTGCTAAAAATGTGAGTATAATGCTATGCATAATTATATACTACTGGTATAATCTGCTCTGTAAGAGCAATGTCTTTCCAAAATGTGGTTCTCAGAGTGATGCATTGACAGACCATCAAAGCCCTGCATAACTAAATCTATATCTTCTCTAATCTGTTTCAAAACTCAAAATGTGAAGAAAAACCAGAAGGACCAGAATGAGGGATATCCCCACCAGAGTCTGAGAACTGATAAGAAAAACCTCGTGGCCCACATTGACACATACCATGGGTTCAACTCCTGGAGCTCTGTTTGGGACTTCTCCGCTGTAAGTTGCAGCCACCACAGCTCAAACATCTTTTGTGCAAGTTCTTCCTTCTGCCTGCACAGAGCATGACATAAGGCTAGAACAAATGGGTCCTGTTGTTGATTAAAATCCCCCTTCAAGCTCCACAACATATTGACTCAGACAATATAACTGAATAACATTATTTTCCTTCTCTATAATTATTTGTACCATGTAAAACCACTTCTTACCGTTACTTTTGTCATTACAGTTCCCTTTAAATTTTGCTTGTGACAAATGTTAAAAGTTGTTTTAGAAGTGGTCAATTTCTTGCAATTTTTTTTTCTTTTTTTTAAGGGCTTTGTTGCAACCAGGTTATTTTCGAAAAAGACCTGCGTCATTAGCAAAATAAACAGAGATACTCTTCCTTTTATTGTACTGGCTCCTTCACCTCTTTCAGGAGAACTGGTAAGATGGCAAGAGTGGTGAGAAATCTAATCAATTGCCTGAGAAACGTACACATGTGAAGAAGAAAACCACAAAAAGGAAAAAAGGCACCGAGAAGAAAGCAAAAGTTTCTTAGAAGGGTTGAACCACACCTTGAGTTTAGTCTAACAAAAGTTACACTGCACATTAATTAAAGATACACATGTGGCTTTTGAATCCCCCCTTTTTTTATTCCTAAATGCTACTTTCTGGGTTTGTTTTTTGAGGCTCAACCATCTCCAGCACCTGAATATAATTATGTCGTGTCAAGAAGGAGGGTCACAAACCTGGCACCATACGGAAAACCCATTCAAGCTCTGTGCAGAGGAGTTCCCACTTATTTGGCTTTGCCAGCAACACGTGAGTATGCTCATAATTAACAAATACCAAAACAAAGGTCAATAAACTTTTACATAAAGATTAAATATTTAAGTAAAGAATAATAAGCAGCTCAATTTTTAAATTGAGAGTATAAATTTGACATATTATAGTGAGTCTGAATTTAATAGGAGTTTTGGTGTTCTTTCATTTAGCATCAAACTTCGTACAACAGGATGTCTCATGTGTGAAAACACAGCAGAACAAAGTGAGAGTAAATTACTGTCATCATCCTTAATATAATTCCTGCCAATTTGATTTTGAGGAGATATTTCCTTCATTGTACCTAAAATGAAGATTTTTTTTCCCTGACAGTCTCACCTTGATCACATTTTCAATCACTTCTTTCTCTGCCTCTCTTCTGCTCTCTCTGTAGGCTATTGTCTCTCAATAAAATTTATCATTAATCTGCAATAACTTGTGTTGTGATTTCATTAAACCTTCAAAAATATGTAAGCAACTATAAATGCAAATTGTTACATTAGTGTTCTTGCAGAATGCCAACTCAAGCACTTAAATCTGTTCTTGTAGAATTTCCCAGTGAGATTTCACTTCCTGTCTTAAGCAATTATTGTTCATTGCCATTTTTAACACGTCCAAAAAAATTTTAACACCTCTAGAGAACACAGGGCCTCACTTATTAAGCAAAGCTCTGCTTAGCCCAGGGTTTCTGGAGAGAATTGCCTCTCCCTTTCCAAATTTACGCTGCATTTTCTTTGAGATAAAGCAAGCAAAAATGCTTTACTTATCTGATAGCTTGTCACTGGGAAATGTCTCTGCAGGGGCCTTCCAGGTGCAAGGCTCTATTGGATAGGGATGTGAGAGCCCCAGGCTCGCTGGGATCTGACCTGGGCTGCACGTGCAGTGCGGGAGCATCCCAGCAGCCGCAGTCCATGAGGACGTGAGGATTACCCTGCCACGATAGAACAAAAAAATCAACTTTATAATACAGCTAAAGAAGCATTTTGGTTCCTCAGTGAAGCAGCAAGGCAGTTTTCAGACAAAGCACGTATTTCCCATACTTCAGGGTTTTATTTTCCATATTAAATTTTGAGCTGTTTTCTTGATCTAATTAGGATGTTATTACATTTCATAGTGCTTCAGTTTAGGCCATATATTGGAAATGAAACAGCTTTAATCAGAAAGAGCAAGAATTGCTGTATAAATTAGACTGCAAACTTGAGTCAAGACAGCAAAGTGTCACAGAATCAGAAGGGAGATCAAAACAGTAACTCTCAGTAAAATAACCAAATAAAGAGAAATATGAATATTCTTAATAGTGCACAAAACTGGAACTGCAAATTGTGCAATAAGAGGTCCTTCTCGAAAAAGTCTAAGCTTTTTTTAACAAAATAGTTTCCATGATACGCAACAATTTTAACTCTGAGGGCAACACTGCAGCATAACACATCGTTACTACCAACTTACATGTTACTGCAGATCTGATTTTCTTCTTAACCCACAGCAGGCAGACTGGCAGGATTCGGGTTTATTTACATTTTAAAACTTAAGAACAAAAGAAATAAACTAACAACAACAACAACAAAAATCCTGCCCCCCCAAAAAAAGAAAAATGTGACCAACGTATCACTAAAAAGTCACAAATACACCTAATAAATGTATTTTAAAGACCCTGTGAACTGTAAGGCAAAATCAGGACGCTGAGAGACCCTGTTTTGGGAAGAATTGTGACTGGTGCAGCTTTTTAGAGTTAAAAACAAAATAAAATAACAAAACATATAGGGTCCTTGAGTCATTACCACCAGGTATAACAGAAGTCTTTCAGGAAAAGGACATAAAAAACCCCAAAGGGATGACACTGGGGCGGTGCTGGAGAGCGCACGCTGTTCCCCTCAGCCCTGCCGCGCCGCCCAGCCGCCTTTTCCCGCCCTTTTTCTCTCTCAGGCCCTTCGCCCTCAGGCCCTGCTCGCCTCGCGCCGCAGACCCTCGCGCCGCCTCGGGCCCCTTCCCTCCGCGCTCCACCTCATCCCCAGGAGCTTTTTTGCTTTCTTCAGGAAAGGTTTAACCCCTCTCGGGGGAGAGTTTCCTCTCAGGCACGGGTTTTCCTCACTTTTCTCTTCAGGGATTTTCCCTCTGCTGCCGCTAGCCCTCAGAGCGCAACGCCTAGCCCTGCTCGGGGCCACACTGGGGTGCTGCTCGCAAAGAGTATATCACTCCCATTTAACAAAGTGGTATTTAACCAAAACACCCCTTGCAGACTGGCAGATCTGGCCTCGGCAAAATTTAAAGCAGAGTTTGATTTAATGTGCTAGCAGCCCTGGTTATAAACTGTTTTTACATATTTAAAAGGAATATGTTTTTGGAAGATGTGCTCAATTCCAGTTGGAAAGTAATTTGGGATCTTTACAATGATTTCTTTCAGCAAATAAAAAATCACTCTAATATCAGAAAATCAAGCTGAGCAATTTGAGACAAAAAAAAAGTATTCAGAAACCTGAGTGACGTGTAATCTCTTTCAGTAAATATTTGCTTCACCACAGAAGATAAGGTGAAAAATTTTCATGTCACAGCCTAGAAGAACAACAAAAATACCCAGATATTTGCACTTGTGTGTTCTATTTCAACCAAACATTTCATTGACAAACATAGTATTTTGGTGGCAATAAATGGTCTCATTGCTGTATTCAGGCCCTGTATTTTGGCATACCCGGAGAATACATGGTTAATTATGGTAAGTTTTTGAGGGTATAAAGACTTACACATTTGTATTCAGCAATGTAAACCTAATGTATTTGTAGCTTACTCAGACACAGGAGCAAAACCTGATGACCAAGTTCATCTRCAGAATCAGACACTTTGCAATGTTTTCTGGGGGCCCAGCATCTTTGCAGAGGGATTAGCCTGTAAAAGGTGTCAGGTTAAGGTGTCAGGAACGTATAGTGACCTTCATGATTTCAAATTCTTCTAAAATTTCTTCCAGAGTCATGCCAGGACTCAATGGAGGGGGAAAAAAAAACCCTCAATACTAATGCAAATAGGGTGACTTACCATCCTATTTGTTCATTGGGAAAGTTTCTTTTTTGATTTTCTTTTGCTTTCGGCAGTTACTCTGATGTTGCTCCAGTTCTATGGGATTTTTCAAAAATAATTACAAAGATAATAGATGTYGGGAAGTTTTCAATAAACATACTGAATTTCTCAGTCACTCACAAACATCCTTATCTAGTAAATTTGTCAGGCTTTGGCAGGTAAGATTTTGCAAAGTACAACCCACATATTTACATAATAGTCATAGGAGGAAATAATGTTTGTGGACAGGCACAAGGGAGTGCAAATTTTTAGATAACTTGATCTCAATATCTAGGCATTCCACACCTTATTGAAAATTAACATATATAAGGTGGAAGATGAACATTGTGTACTGCTGAACTTGCATCTGCTGTACAGCCAAAATGAAGCCTGCTGTGAGTATATAGGCTGTTTTCTCCTTAGAAAAGGAAGCTTTGATCCAAAACTTTTCCCTTTATACCGTAGGAGTTTGCCTATATCTGCTTTTAGGAAAGAGCTGTTCTCCTTAGATTTAGCTCCTTCAGAGCCCATATTATCTTAAACAGTTCAAGAGGTAAGGATTCTTACAAAGATTTAGATATATATTATTCAGTCTATGGGGAGCCTAATCCAGAGCCCACTGCTGTCTTTCTGCAACACAGGGAAGTTGCTTATAATTGCTTATAATATTTAAATACAGTAAATTTCTTCCTCACTCATACAGAGTCTCGCTATATGAGTATTCAAGTCTCTTCAGGAGAGTCTTCAGATTCAGCTCTTGAAAAAGTAAATGACTCCAACAGGTCTAGGTTGGATTGTTCTAGAGTAAAGTGAGGATCATGCAATTTRGATGACTGTTATAATTCCAGTAGGAAGAAAAGAGGGATACAAGGAGTATAATCAGGCTGAGAATAGGGAAAAAAAACTCATTAGAAAGGATTCCCAGACCCAGATTTGTCATTTGTTCTTCTACATTTATTCTTCTGTGCTTTCAATGTGCATTTCAGATTGTGATTATTGCACTTGGACTCTTGCTGACTCCTTCTCTTGCTGGTAAGGTAAGTATGGTGACCAAGGCATATATCGCTGCTCTATTTCCATCTTTCCCGCTTCTTCAATTTTGCCCATCCCTGTGGAAGGAAGGAATCTAAAATTTCACTTGGGTATAAAATATGAAATGGTAATTGTAAACTACAGAAATTGTTACTGTTCTGTCATTTCAAATCTCTGGCTCCTGGTGGGCCAATATTTGCCATATTTTAATAGGACAAGCAAACATGAAATCATTTTCTATTTTTGTCAAGTAAGGCAAATATTTGGTTGACTTAGAACTTAAATTTTAATACCCATTTTTGGCAACTCATTAGTTTATAATGTTTAGAAGAATCCTTACTGCATTTTCCTTCAATTTGTTTTCATTCATTGCTCTTTGCATTTGGATTTGTGGCTGTTTTGAAGGGAAAGGTGGCATTAAGCATATTTGTGTATATAAGCACATGATCCATGTCTAATCAGCCCTATGGAGTATTAAGCTGATCTTTCTGCTTATAGCACCTTTGTTCACTCCTCTCTGGTCAAAAAAAATATTGTTTGGATTTGTGCTAGATAAATCTCAGGGTTTGGTGCAACGGCCCTTCTAACCTCTCAGAGGGCAGTATAATTCCTATAACAGCAATTTCCTAAAGCTGCGGGGAAATGGCTAACAATAGCCTGAGTCTAAAATTTTAGTTAATTTTGTTTTTTAAATTCAGAATGAGAAGAGAAATAAGGAGATAAGCATTGATAAGAACGCCCAAGAAACTGTGTACATCAACAAAGCAGAGGGCACAGCCTATATTGACATAAACGATGGCAGGAAATCGTGGAACCTTGTCTGGAACTACAGATCGGTGAGTGCTGAAGAACATGTTTTTTATTCAGAAATTTTCCAAAATGAGTAGTTCCTGTAAAACTGACAGAAATACTGTTCTCATTTATTAGATTTTGGGTCGAAGATCCAGGGTAAAACCATTTCACCAGTCTTTATTACTTTGACTTTTAATACAGACTTCATTCTGTTCTCAATTACCCAAGAACTAAAATCCTGGATCTTTATTTTATTTTACAGGGATACCTTGCAAGCAGATCATTTGAAAATAAAGTCTGCTTCATTTCTAAGATTAACAAAGATCTGATGCCTGATGTAGTTGCTTTCGCCAAGAAGGTAAGATAAAAAGGGGAGTTGTAAACCTGAACAATAATCAATGTAAACTGTAAGCATACGATGTCAGAGAGAACAGTATTTTCAAAAGACTTTAAACCAACAACTAATATAAAAGCCTTTCAGATTAAATCATATGTTACAAATTTGTATCAATTTCATACAAATTTGTATCAATTTCAACAGGCTTTTATACTAACATAATAAGTTTTCAAAAATGAAAATATTCTGTTTCAGGCATTTGTATAATGTATTTGTTTACATTATGTATCACCTAGCAAATGCATTATTATTATGTGATACAGATTAACTATTTCTTTTAATACTGCTTTTTATGTTTTAAAATGTTAGATTTTAAATGTTAGATTTGGCATGGTACTTCCCATAATCTCACATTCTTTTCAGGCTAAGTAGTAATATGGTAGGTAACTATTGGGAGAAAAAAAAAGTAACAAGAAAAGAACCATTTATCTAAAATTTCAACCAGATGCATTGCTTTAATAGAAATAAATACTATAGTACCATGAGCCAACATGACTAGCGCAAACATTTTCAAAAATATCTTGGCATTCAGCATACTAAAATTTTGCTGAGTCCTTCTAAAAAACCCTGTCTTTATAGGGCAAGAGGGTTTGACAGGGGAAAGAAAAGGAGAGTTGTGTAAGCACCAGCTCTCTCAGGAAACTTTCATCTTTATCTGTCCCCAAGCCTGCTTTCACTGAGGTGCATCTCTATTGCCCTCTGAAGCTTATCTCAGCTCTCTGCTCACCAGCGAGAAGGATGTGTATTTGAGTGTGCTTTCAGGAACTGTTTGATAAAATTCCACTGTAATATTGAAAGCATATGTCAATCTCAGTCCTCCTGCTGAGTGTCTTCACCCTGTAGTTCATGTAACTATTTCTTTCTGACACACTTGCTCCTTCTTGAGAGGACTAGATTTTCACAAGCAGCAAGATGTTTTTTTCTTTCTTCTGGAAGGAAACACCACTACTTGCAACACTGGAATCTGGCTTGGGAATTTGACAGGTGGGATTTGGGATATTTTTTTTTTCCGTTAGAGAAAGAGTAGGTGCACAACAGATTCAAAGACTGCACAAAATACTGTTTTAGTAAAAAAATCAAAGCACTTAGTCACCATTCCGGAAATATAAATATATATCATGAAATGAATCAAGACACTCATCTTACCAAATGATGTTATTTGACATTGTTTAGGGCATAAAAGATCAAAGAGCTCCACCAAAAGAGGTCACTCAGATCATCTCAAAGAGAAAAATCCGTGACCTCAAGGCCTATGGAGAAAGCGTCTATGCTCTGTGCAAAGGGCTGCCTACTTACACAACTTATGAAACACACGGTGAGTGCAATCAAACTAATTACTCATATAACTGAACTGAGGAGTTTTTTTTCCTTAGAAAACAATACATGAGCGCTGTTGTTCCAACTGGAGGCAGACATGAACCAAGAGCTCACAGAATTGCATAAAGGGTACAGTACCTGTACAGATCTGGATCAGAACTATACTAAGTCACAACTTTGTTAAATCAGCATGATTTAACTTCCTTACTTTTTTACTAAAGATTAAGGGAGCTTAATTTTTGGCCCAGAATTTTGCACATTGAATTTACCTGACACAGCACTGCCTGAAGAACTACTGTCCTTCAGTTTATACACRCTTAATGGTTTGCTGAGGGATCCCACCATCAATGGCTGTGCTGAAAGTCACATCAGATGAATGTGTCCATGATTTAGAATATTAAGCCAAGTTGCTCCATACCTTGCAGGTTTAGTTTTGTGACCTAAGCCGAATAGGCTTCTTTAATAACGTTAGAGCTTGATGATGCCCTCGCAGTCACTAGCATAACAGTACAATGAACTACAGTATACTAATAGTATGTAATGTAGCTGCTACTAGCTCCTCTGTGATCATCCACTTAAGAATCAAAAATCCAGTTGTGCTCATTTAAAATATTCCTATAGTAACAATTAAAATATTTCTTGATCAGAGTAATAAAAATGCCAGTTGTATAATGTCAGCTGTTGCTATGAAGACAAGTATAAATCAGCAATCTTGCAGTGAGTGCCATAATCATGTGCTAAGTTTTACTCTGAGGAATTATTCCTGAAGGACCAGGAAAATATTCTTAGTTGGGTTGCAAATGGAGTGACTGCAAAATGTCTCAGTAGAGATAGGACCTGCAGATCATACATAGCACGTTATCATTCAGACATAGTAGTACTTCCACCTACTTGGTGCTCACTTTCCTTCAGTAATTGCTTTGATAACAGAAATGGCTCAACTGCTTTGGTTAAAAACATATAAATAAAAATGCATGCAGTATCCCATGTATTAAAGAGTATCAGCGAATGTGCTGAACTCTTATCTTGCATTTTGGTATTACCTAATGGCTGATTTTTTTTTTTCCTCCTTCTATCATTAAGGACTCCAATTTTGGTACGGTCAAGGATCCTGTTTCCGGCTTCATATCTTAGTGATTCTTGGCATTAATTACTGTTCTGGTGTTAACAGCTCCTGAAAATCCTGCCTTTCTTGAACCTCTCAAGGATCTCTACTAACTACATAGAGCTGTCCCCATTGCTCTTTTGCCAACACGTTTTCCTGTTGCATCTTGCAAGTGTTTCAGTCTTCCTGATTCAGATTATGAAGCAGATCTGTTGGTGTTAGTATCTTTCAATTAAACATGCATCAACTCTGCCTAGTTTTTCATTATTACATCTATTATCATTGGTGTCTGAGAATCATTCTGGATCAGGATGTGACATCAGAAGGCAATTGAGATTGTGTATGGTTAGTATATGTAGGGAAACCGTTTTTTAAAAAGCTGCAGCACATTAGATTAAGGATGCTATAACTGCCTTTTCCTTGCCTCACTACTGAGCCAAATCATTTGAAAATGTTGTCCTACTCTGTGCACATCACTCCCAAGAAGGCAAGGAGGAGATCAAGCTTAGAACTTTCCCTACCTCCCACACATATATACAGAAGAGAAGCCCAGATATCCACAGATATAAACAGAAGAACATACAAAACACAACATTTGAAGAAATGCTTTTTTGRGTTAAGCAAGAAAGTCTGTTACGGAAAACTAAATCTGAAGTTCCACAGCGAGCAAGATGGATCCCAGTGCTCATCTTTACTGAATTTTAGCAACAGACACACTCTCTCTCATGGAATGATTAGAATAGCAATTAATCTTCAGTAGTAGTGCAGAACTATATACAGAGCTGAGCAAGCTGTATTATAATTGCAAACAACTGCAGATAAAATCTTGAAAATAGAGAAGAGAAATAACAAAAGCTGAAGAGGCCATAGCCATGCTACAGATGTGTAGATCTGTATGGAGATGAGTGACTGTTAACATATACCCATTACAAAAATGATACACAGAACTAAGATCTTGCTTTAAATAAAGCAAAGATGCACTGCCTTTTAAAAAAAATATAGTTGACCCACACATGCCTGCAGAAACCAGGGTCTAGCAACTCTTGCATTAGAGAAACGTTSCTATCATTAGATGAACTTGACCACACAATACACAAAGGAAAAGTTAAAAATAAAAGCTATAAAAGTACAAGCAATATATGCTTTTAAAACACTGAAGATGAAATTCCAGCTGGTAAAGTTAGTGTCTCAAGACAGTCAACTGAAAACAGATCCTAACTGCAGATTTTGCTCCCCTATATTTTTCACTCCAACATGGATCAGGAAGGGTATGTGATTGCTGGGTCAGACTGATACCATCTTCATGATCACTTGTAAAATGCAGATCCTAACCTCATGTGGACGTTTCCCTCTTCTAACCCTGAATAGGGGCATAATGTTGCCAAATCACAGCTGCATTTCTTTCTGCAGACAATTCCACTCTTCTAAGCTTCAGTTCTTTTGAAGTCTGACTTCCATATGTCAGATTGAAAGCACTTTCAGGCAAAATGTGCTAGCCAGGTTATCATATGTTATTAAAATATCTCTCCTTGCCCTTCTTTCCTTCCTCTACTGCTCACCCGATTGTGCCAAGTCTTCACTGTTGTTTTTGAGTCATCAAACCTGTTCCCATGGAAACATATTCACAGGAAAATTGCTCCAACATGACATTTATGTATCAATAACTAATTTTACTGCTTAGCAAGCTCTCTAATATACTTCAATTGAAAGCTATAAGAGATGCAGTGGTGAGCACTTAGAGAAGATTAGACTCCTAAGCCTCAAAGACAAGTCTTGATGGAGCTTATAGGAAGAAGCAAAACTCCCCACTGAATATAGATTAGAAAACTGGACCAATGGATGATACGCTGGACTGAATTTTGTGACTTAACAAGAACAGATCAAAATTCAGAAATGCGTCTGAAATCTTGGGCCATGTTCCTTTTACAAGTCCAGTTTCAGGAGTGAAATGATATAAAGGCATCTTAATTTCCTTGCTCTTCCTCTTACCGAAAAGGACAGGCCACAACGAAATTCCATCAGAGAAGAAAAGAGCCACCCTGAGAACCCGAGTATTACAGAAGGGACGCCCATGTTTCAGGATGACACTGTGCAAGACAGCCAGGAATGGGACATGTGTTATATGCTGTATTTAAGCATCTCCTGTTTTGTATGGATAATGCAGTGAGACATCAGGCGCCACTGTCCTCAGCAGTGCTGAGAGAGGGGAAGTGGCAGTCCCTCCTGCAAAGAACGTGCAGCTTTTGGAGCAAATACCATTTTTTGACATGTCATCAAACACATTTGAGGTAACAGTTCCTAACATAAGGGTTGCCTTCTCCATCTTCAGATCAATTTGAAATGAATGAGTCAGATACTCCAAATCCAGCAGTGCAGTAGGAGTTTTTAAATCTGGTTAGCATTATACAAAATGAAGTCAGTAGATCTGAATCTTTTTAACCAAGCAGTGCTCCATCAGTGCTGGCTGCATATTCCTTGCTCAAAGCAATGACAGATGCATGTTTCATGGTTAGCACCTTATTTAGGCTTCATTTTTTCAGGATGCTCCACTATACAGCATTAATGAAAGGGGACTACAACTCTTTTGACTGCCCCTAGCTAGATTTGGCTAGAAATAAAAGTAACACTTAGAAAAAAACACCATATGTTCTCCATGGTTTATGGCAGAATTGCTCCCCACACTGTATTTTCTAAAGCTTTGATTTTAGTACATCACAATACATATATTTTCCTTTCTGTACTCAGCCTAATATTCTTCTTCAGAAAGAAGTTGCACCCTAATGCCATGAGCTAGTAGCCCTTGTTAAAGGGCCAATGGAAAACAAATCTAATCACACGGAAGAGACTGCAGTGCATCCTTAAGCATTACAGCAGAGACTAACAATATCAAAGAAAGGCAGATAAAAACAAGAGATAAGGGAGTTAGGGATCCCTTTGAAACATCAGAGCAACCCGGGGGGGGGGGGGGGGGAAAAGCCCCGTGGCCACTGGGTGTCAGCCTTGAATTGTGTTTCACCAGAAATACAGTTTAATCATAAAGGGGGAACCACTCATTACACAGAATAGTCTCCTATCCTCAAGGGGAAACAAAACAACAACTCTGCTGATGTTAAAAGAGGTATAATCTGCATAAATGGCCAATGAATTTAAGGATATATCTACACTGAATGAAAAGGAGTTAATTTCTATACAATGCTGATGTATTTGTGATAATGATAATGTTGGCATTTCATCAGATATTATATGTTCATGCAAAACAGCTGCATCTTTACTACGTGCCCTGAGAACCGAGGAATGGACTTGTGAGATGTTGACAAAAGCCATTCTCTACCCCACAGGTCACGTGTTTGCGAGCCAAAGAAAACCCAAACCTCCCCAACAGCCAAGAAACCCCCAGAATGAGCAAGCACCCACAAAACCCACGTGATGCTGTCATCTATCAGCAACTCTGCTGTGACCACAAAACGACTGAACCAGCTTCTTCCCTGCTGTGAATTTTTTCCTTCCTTCAGATAAGTACAGGATAGTAAGTGATAAAGCAAGTAAATCTGCAAATGCAATTTAGAACTTTCCCATCATTAATATACAAGTTCTACTCATGCATCAAGGATATTAGTTGAAGTTAATTAATTCTTTAACTACTGCATGCAATTAAAACTCTTTCCTCATCTCTTTCATACTGAACATAATACACACGCTTTTGAAGACTGATAAATTCTTCCATGCGAGCCACAGCCCTCGTAATAGTTTTCTTTCTAGTATTTTTAGCAAGTGAGGGACAGAGACGGGAATTCTCACACCCCTTCCTGTCTAATACAGGCTGCCTATGAAGGAGCTGCTTTTCTTGGAGCATCGTGTTCATCTTGCCACTATTACTAGTGCATAAACAGATGGAAGCATTATTTAGGCACACATATAGGAGGAATAGCCCCAGAAAAAGTCAAAGTTATGGCACAAAGCACAGTATTTCATTTTCTCTGCAGCTCCTTCCATCTCAAAATGCTTTAAGCTTCCTCTGATGTCTCATTCATTGGCCTTTTTCCCCAAGTTTTACTGGGCCTTCTGTCAGCCTGAATCTAGAGCTACAGAGGGAATCTGAGCTCTTCCATTTCTTCCTCCCTCCTCCTCTTCCTTTCCCTTTGCTAGTTTTTGGCCAAAGTTATTTCCTTAAGTACAGTTTTTTTTTTTTTTTTAATTCTCCATACTTGTTTATCTGAGAACCAACCAGTAGAAAAGACTCTTAGTCTGCCCCCCCYTTTTTTTTTTCTCTCCTTGCTTAAGTACAGTAACATTGCCCTAGCTGTAGCTCAGATCAGAACCAAACCTCAAGAACATTTTTAAAGTTGCTTGAAACTAGCACGTTAGTCCCCAGAGAGGGACTTTTTAAAGACACAAAGCAGCCAGTAGCTCCTCTACCTCTCCTGCTCACACAGATGGGTAAAGCAGGTGCTAAGAGGTGCTAGCTCCAGCTAGCCCTGCAGCTGCCTCCATGAAAGGCTCTCACAAGCTTTTCCCAGTCTCCCACCTGCCTCCAATAACAAGCCTCCCAATCTAACATAGATCCTTCCCTATACATCACCAAGCCTTGCTATTATTCCTCTTTCAAACTTAGCAAAGAAGTGAAAACAAAGAACTTCTTGAAAGCCTGACTCCCATACACTACTACCTCCCTGCTCAAAACCTGCTGAAGTCCCCACTTACTGGCAGCACCCAAATGCTCAGCTAATGAGCAATTAGCACTCAGCTGTGCTGCGAGAGGCTTTGGGAGGGAAGAGGAGAAATTCTTGTTCTTCAGACCTATGACTTAGGTGCTGCCTGTGATGCTGTTTGTGGAGGGAGAGAGAAAATGTGAGGCTAAAACTGAATTTTCTTACTAGTTCTTGGGGGAAGAGGGAGGATTTAGGCTTTGGTGGCTGAAGTGAGCCCTCTAAGGATTGCTAGAGGGGAAAGACTGCCTGTCAACATTAGCAATGTTTGATAAAAACAGTCGAATATTGCCTTGGGATGAGGAAAATATGTGCAAGTAAAGCCTGGGCTAGCTTGTTTTTAGTGAGATGTAACCTTGCTTCACTAAATGCTCTTAAGCTGCTCCAGGTTTATGCTGATCTCTATACCTAAAGATCAGGTCAATAGGGGAAACAAAGCCTTCTCTGTATGATGCTGTGGCTGCTGGAACACTAGCTGCTTATCAAAAGCATCTGGAATACGTGTTTTGTGTGCCCAGAGCATAAATGGTGGCATTAATATCTCAAGACACTTGAGTCAGCCTGAATTGTCACCACAAGGTGGCAATCTCAGAGCTTTTCCCCCCCCCAAAGACAAATAAAACCTCACCATCCTTAATAATAACACTAATAATTAAGGCAAAAATCCAAGCCCTCCACATATTTTCCTAAGCCTGGGACAGAGCAGGAGCCATTCGGAGGCTGCTCTTTCTCCTGCAGAACAATGGTGGTGCTTTACGGCAGCTACAAGTGAGACAAGGGCAAGTCCCTTTAAAAAAAAAAAACTGGAATACAGTATTGTGCATCTTGAAATCTGAAACCAAGAAACAGAAGTGCAAGGGAAACACAGGGAAAGTCTTGCAATTTCTGAGGACAGCTGTTGCAAGTGGAGTTTTAAGAAGCAGAACAGATGCGTACATATTTAAAGATCATTGAATGGCTTTTGTGAAGAAGTCTATGAATTAAAGGAGCTGTGGAAGAAGAGGGCTTTTTTTTTTTTTTTTTTTTTTTTTTTTTTTTTTTTTTCTCCCTTCCCTCCCTCCTTTCTGGATATAATGGCTATTGCAAAGGAAAGAATCTTGAGATTTGGCTTCAAATGTTTCTTTTTAGCAACGTTTTTGCTAGCCTGTGATGGACAAAGTGGGAAGAGAGAGAATGGTGGTCCTGCCTGTTACGGAGGATTTGATTTATATTTCATTTTAGACAAGTAAGTCAGTTCTACTTCGTTCTTTTTCAGAGAAATCATTCCAAAGCCTGAACTGGAATGGCATGAACTGACAGTGAGGAGATTTTCTTTGGATTTTGTGTTTTTTTAGAAGTTGCTGCATCCCCAAGGGACCTATAAAATTCCTTATTGTTCTGTCTTGGATTTTTATTGTTGTTGTGGTAGCTTCTTCAGTGAGTCTAGTCTATAATCCCATTGTACTCTGTAAATCAAGTTGTGATAAATTCTGCTGGGGCTGGTTTGGATTTTTTCATGTGTACTTGACTCCGTAATTGCTTAAAGCAGCGTTGGGGAGAAGAGCAGCGCACACCTCTGATACCCCTATGAACAGTGAAGGTTGAGGAACTCAGAAAAGCAAGGTTTGGAGAGGTGCTATTGCAGGCGCTAATTTTGTAGCTGAAAAGTCAGAGGAAGTGCTAGCCTACCTGGAGTGCTATTTCTGTGTCGTTTTTCTGTTAGTTGTAAATGTTCTTGTGCAAGATGAAGACCCGTCTCCTCGGGTGCCTAGTCAGTTTGAAAGAGTCTGATTTTTGTCATTGTGATGGAGAGTAGCCAGAGTGCTTTACTTAAATTGAATTTTCTCTACTCTGAGTCACATTTTCTTTGTTTCTGGTTAATTAAATGCATATTTTGACTGCTTAACTGTTTACAGGGGAGATATCTGCCTACTCATTTTATTCATCACTATTCTGATAGTGTCACCATCTTGGCGTTGGTATCTTTATTTAAAGGTCTTCAAACTGTACTCAGAACAATATGCAACAGAAATGTGCTGAGTTTTGGAGAGCTTCATCCAGAAGCAATGACTAACTTATTTAAATGTGTAAGAAGTACTAGCTAAAATGTCTGTCCCAATGTCTTTAATTGAAAAATAGTTATATTTTTTTAACATGAAAAAAAGAGAATACTGGCGAATGTGCATGCCAAAGCATATTTTCTCATCATGTTATTGACATTAGCCACAAGTTTAATGGAAAATATTTTAAAGTTGCCAAAACTGCCTGCAAATAAAGCTTTCTAACTCATCCTCGTGAGTGTTTTGCAGTAGCTCCCACATTCCATTAGTATAAAAGACTTTGAATTATGTAACACATTATTACAAAATACTGGGTAAAAAAGTTAAGTTTACTGGATATTTCAGGAAGCTTGATGTCCTAATATCTGAAGGAGATGGGGTTTTATTTTCATTTTACTTCATTCAGTGGAAGGATGATCCTATCTGCATTTTGTTGCTTGGGGTATTCTGCTGCTAGCTGGAATGTTTGCCCTTATGGCGAGGCAAGGGGAAAAGATGAACCATCGTTTTTTACCATGAAGAACTTTAACTAAATGGAAATTGAGGCAGAATTGAAGGATCTTCTAAATCTGGTCGATACTGTTTTGTGTCTGAGCTAGCATAATTTTAACAGCCTTCACCCCCTCCCCCCCCCCACTATGCTGTCATCCTCCAGAGAGGTGTGATTCTTCAGGCTTGCTCCGGGGGTTATGAATTCCAGTGGAAATGTAAATTCTGGGTCACTATTCACAATAGAGTGAAGTAGGTATGCAGTGTATGCATTAAGGTATGCAACAGTAAACCCTGCTTTGTAGCAGTTGCAGGATTACCATTTCTTGTATTTTTGTGGTGCAGCAATAAAGAGGTTGGATGTAAAGTGCATTGGTGTAACAATCTGTGCAGTTTGGGGGAAGGTCGTAGTGTTTAGCTACTCCTGTGTTCAACATGCTATTGACCTGCCTTTGAGCAGGCTGATGAGAGGATTATAGGGGTGGTAGGGCATGTTTCTCATAGCTCCTCTTTAAAACTCTCTTTCACTCCTTTGCTGTGAAGCCAAGTTATATAATACTTGGGTCTTGTTCAGCCTGTCATTCCTACCTGCATTTGTTGCCTTCACATGTGCTGGTGGAGAGGTCCAGCATTCCTGAGGATAAGACGCCTAGAGAGGCCTTCAGGCAAACTAGGAAATGGTAATAATGGATTCAGGGCTTATCTTGCTGCTTTTAACTGAAATAGCTCTAAAAATAATTAAAGCCTTGGTGATAAAGGCAGAAGGGATTTTCAGTCTGAAACCTGAGATGTTAATTCCAATGGTGGAAGAAAGCCATTAAAATATTAAGCAACTTACTTTCAGGGATCACAGAAGTAATGCCAAAATAATAAACACAGCTCTGGAAGCCACCAGCACTGGAGTCTTTCACTGACCTTCCTGCCTCAGTGTCTTCTTGGATTTAGTGACCACTTAAGTCCCTTTAGCACCTTGGACCTTGCACAGTTCTTGCAACACATTCCAACTGCTGTGCTATACACAGTCCTTATCTGACCACTGGCTCTTCAAGCATGTTTCTGGTCACAAAAAGCCTCTTCAAAGGCAGTGTTAAAGCTGTTGAGGGAGGAATAAGTGTCACTGGCTTCTCCCATATGGTGCTTCCCTGTCTCCCTGCAGACGAGTGGCCTGAAGTGCCCAAGGGAGAGCAGGTTCCCTCAGACGTGGCGCTGCAGACACACGTTCTAAGGGCCTCAAGGGATCTCTCATTCTCTGTGGTTGTGAGAAGGGGATTCAGTCACTCCGAAATAATCCTGTTACTTTCCTCTTCTGCCTTGCAGCTGTGGTGTGCGTGTAGCAAACCAAGAGAAGCTGCAAATGCAGCAGCTTTGCTTGTTAGGTTACAGCATGCATGCACTTGTGTGTCCTTCGTCACTTCCAAGAGGACTTTCTGGATCATTTGGGTGGCAACAGATCCCTGTTGGAAGGTCTCCAATGCTGTGACCACTGGACATCAGGCTAGCAAAAGCATTTTTCAAAAGTGGTACAAAGGCCCAGACAGCTGCAGTTTGAGATGGGCCAACCCCTCTCCAGGCAGGAATGAGCCTGCTGTGCTATTGTCAGTGCAGTCTTCTGACTCTGGAGAAAATCAAGCTTGGCAGGGCTTTTTGTGAACCGCTGCTTGACACATACCTAACTTTCTTGTAGCTACAAATGAGGAATGGGTGTTCTCAGCAAGTACAATGGGAGAAACTGAAATCGGGAACCTGATGGAGTAGCCTCTTGCTGTATTAATGAAGCCAAATCATAAGCAGGTTGGAGGTGGTGCAGCGATGGGTTGCRTTGCGTCCTGTAGCAGTGAGAAGCACCTGCTGCAGGGCAGGATGAAGCCAGAGCCTGGTGGTCACATTGTGGAAATTCTGAGCCAAGTGGAGATTGACTTCCTTGGATTCAGTTTAGATATGCAGGATGCCAGCACAGTTGACCACTCAAAGTATCATTCTCTTATTTAAGAACAAGTAAACTACTATGCCTTTATTTACACTTATTGCGCTTTTCTCCAGCCAAGAGAATTTGCAATTTAAGGAATGGCTTGCACTGAACATTGCAAGTTTATAGTGTAATGCTGGCTTGCCAATAACTTTGTCTCATTTTGACAATACAAAGAGACACAGGTTTAAATGGCTTTTATTTTCTTAGGTTTTAGACACATTTCTCCCTTTTGGAGCTCACGGGCTTTCTTGTAAGAGGCTCTGTAAGGGACAGTAGTGCAAGGACAGTAGCCTTGTCCTGCACGGTTTTCCAAYACACCTCAAAGCTACGGAGCTGAGCACTGCAACCTGTCACTGCCTCTGTACCCCATTTGGGAACACATTTTTAGCTTGCTGTGGCTCAAATGAAGAGTAAATTGATTGTAATCTTAATACAACTACACACCAGTGGTTCTGTAGCCAAAAGCAGAAACTGCATTTTTCTTTGGAGGGCTAGGCTGTGTGTGCTTTTTTATAGATATATATGTATACATATATTTTTTATATATATATATCTATCTCAGCGAAGGTGAGAAGTTTTCTTACAATAGAGGTTTAACATGTGCTGCTCTTGAACTTTAAGTTATTCGTCTCCTCTATATGAATAGATGCGTGGGAAGGTTTTAAGGAAAAAGAACTGTAACTTGAGATGTTTACAGTTTTGTTCCAGAGGGGATAACAGGGTCTTGGTCAGAGACCAGAGCTAGGCTGAAGGGAAAGGGTGGGGGGCAGCAGGGTCTGAATCTGAACTTAGTGGAAAATTAAGTCACTGCATTGCTGAAAAAACGGTTCAAACTACTTAAGACCAGCAGGACAGTTGCAAAAGCAAATGCTGAATGTGCTCTTGACTGGCACATCACTGAGCTAAGCTATTAGTTTTTAAGCTTAGTTCTGGCAAATGCTTTTTCCAAAAATGCATGGCTTCTCAAGCCATGGAAAATGAGTGTTTTATATGACGACCTACATACCATATGTGTTCTGTGGCTGGTTCTCATTCTCAGCTGCCTTGCTGTAATAATAATTTTTAAAGTGACAATCAACTTTTGTTCAGAGGATTGTAACAAGGGGAAGGAATAACCACATTTATTATTTTCAGGCTCCAGCAGCTTCCTGGGCAGTGACCTGTTCTTGGGGAGGGTTGGATAGAGCTGTGGGGGGAGCTGAGAACTGAGCTTTTGCTTAAAGAGAATTATTCTCCTCATTTTGGAGGGCCAGGAGAGGTTGGTTAGTGCATGGCTTTGTGCAACCCATTCCAGCTCCAGCAGTGTCTGCCATTGTGGGGCTCAGAAACTACGTGGAGCTTGAAAGGGGCAGGTTTCCCTCAGCAGGATGCATGGCCGAAAKCCAGGGTGGATCTTGCTGGAGGAGTTAGCACCATCTCTTTTACCATTGACAAAGTTCTTGGCTTTTGTGGCACTGCTGCAACAGAGCCTCGTGGAGGAGCAGGGGGAGACTCTACCTGGCCACCCCTGTTCAGTTGGGGACCCAGCCTGCTGGGAATGGTTTTACATAATGACAGTTCATGCTGAGTACAGGTGCATGTAACTCAGTGTGATTTTAATGTACACTAGGGATATGTTGTTTGGGTTTTGAGTCAAATCGTGTTCTATGTTATCCTGTTAAAGACCACAATTTTCCCTAGTACATGCAGTATTTGATGCATTTCTCAAGGCCTTGCTAGTGCTAATCTGTTGGTGTTCCTGATCTGGTGAGAAGAGTCCCTCTCTGCACACTTAAGAGTCAAGGACTCATTCAGAGCCACAAGCATTTGCTTCTGGTTAGGTGTCTGTCATGTCTCGGTCAAGATTATGGACAAAACTGAGGTGTGGATGAGGTTGTGTTTAAATCATACTCATATAAATAGGTTCAACGAGTAATAGGTCGTTTCTGCAAAGATGAGCAGTGCTGTCTGTGCTTCTTAGCCAGAGGGACTGTGTGTTTCTGGCCCTGGTTTCTTGTCACACCTCCTTGCCTAAGGCTGCCTCGAGGCGTATGGGGCCCCATAGAGAGTCTTATGGTATCATGGAACACATGGATAAGGCTGAGATTTGTCCTGGATGGCTCTAGATAAAACCCAGCTATTAAGGGAAGTGAACAGGAAACGTGAGTAACCTGTGCACTGTGGTTTTTAGTGTGCTACAGTCTGCTTGCTCTGCTTTGAAGAGTGTGTGTGTGTGTGTGTGTGTATATGTATATAAAAAATTGGAACTGTAATTCTGTTGATAATTAATGCTTCTATTAAAGCTGGGATTGTTTCCCTAACAAATATTTTTAATTGTAGCCAGTGACTTGAAATAAGCAATGACATTTTCCAACTCTAGTAGGGAAATCTTTCCAATATTAGCATGCCAATGTTTATATAAATGTTTGTGCCAGAAGACACATTTAGCGCTGAAAGATTTTGGATTAACCTGATTTTTTCCCTTATTCTTATAACATGAAGAAGAATAATCCCATTCCTTTAAAATTCCTGGCCAACTTCCTGCGGAGCAAAACTGTAGTCCAGTCTGTTTTGTCTCTAGCTGAAGGGTGATAGAATGATCTAGAAGGACTAAAATGTGGACCAAAGGTATTTTTCTTTTCATAATTACAAGCACAATGGATATGTTAGAAAGGTTTTTCCTTCTAACTGTATTTTAATCCCCAAATTAAGRTGAATTTTAGAAATTCCCCTAAAATACTACATAAAGACAGATTTGCACTAACTCTGGTTATTTGTTTAAAGCAGCACTCAAGGTCTAACCTTAGTGCCACAGGATATCGTGAATCTTAGCTCAAATACTTGCACTGAGCATAAATTCTTGCTTTTCAAAGTTAAGTAGGTAATGTGCTTTACTGTTTTCCTRTTTCATTGAAAAATTTTATTAAAAGCACAGTGAGTGATAAAAACTTGGGAAAAAATGGCTAGCTGAATGATGCCTAACAGTGCATTAGGCTGGGAGAAATACAGCACAGCAGCAATTAAACTAATCTCCTGCAATAATTGTTTCCATAGATCAGGAAGTGTCCTGCACCACTGGAATGAAATATATCATTTTGTGGAACACTTGGCCCGTAAGTTCATAAGGTAAGAACTGCTGCCTTAGAGATAACCAGAAGAGGTGTGTGCGCCTGCAATAAGAGACAGGCTTCCAGTTTCTGTGAGGAAATACACCCTGCTTTGCCCCTGGGGACCTGATGTAAGAGTTCTCCATCCTTTTCTCAAGACGGATCATGAGTTGCTATTGAATTTATCCCAAATGTGGCGTCCTGTTATGAGAAGGAGTAAATGAGCAAATAGGCCTTTTTTAGGCCTTTTTTTTTTTTTTTTTTTCCCTGCCCATCTTTCATGGACTGGATTATCCTTCCACAGGGAGGGAACCCTCATTTTCTCTAAACGCTGTGGAGCATGAGGAGGGAGAAGCTTGGGACTRCAGGGAGATGTCTGAGACCAGCTTCCAGCATAAGATGCCTTGAGATTGGAAGAAAAATTCCTTGGGTCAGTGGGTGGAATATGTTATGGTAAACAGAGGCAGCCTTCCTTCATCTCCATGGTGACTCTGGGATGCACTTAAGCCTTTCTAGTCTCATCAGTCCCAAGATTATGATGCAAATGGTGTTTCTGTTTTCTACAAGGACTTGGCTCAGCTGGAAAGGTCTTGGACCTAGGACTACTTGCTCTTTTGTCGCCTTTTTACCTTTAGAGTTATAATTTGGGGAGCAACCAGAAATGCAATTTAAATGCTGGATAATAAGCTTATAGTCAGCTGTTTGAGCAGAGCACCAAAGTCATTTACTTTTGTGTTTTCTCCAGTCCACAGCTGAGGATGTCCTTCATTGTTTTTTCCACGAGAGGGACAATTCTAATGAGGTTAACAGAAGACAGGTAAGAAGCTGAAGAGCATGCAGCTGCTTTTTGTCTCCTGTAAGGGCTTTCTTGCTCAATGGTTCCCAGTTCAGTGAACTATGGTGACACCTTTGCGATGCTCAAGTTAATTCCTTAAATCACCTGTCTGTTTTCACATGATGCTTGTTCTGTTAGAAAGCCTCAAGGCTTTCTCAAGGCTGCTTTCAAAAGTTCATTTTCTAAATGTCTGTCTGGATCTATCTGGGACTTAAACAACTTGGTGGCAGTTTGTCTACAACAGGTTTTCTGGCTTTCATTTGTGCTAACTGAAATGTGGTATGTTTTGAACATTGTAGTTATGTTCTCTTTTCTTATCCATCAGAGGTTGCAACCTCTTTGCAGAAAGAGTCTAAAGAAATACCAAAGACAGAGGGCTAAGATCTAGCCAGGGGACATTTAGGGAGTTAGCTGCCCAGTGTCCGTTATCTTTCAAGCAGATCCTTTTTGACAGCTTGGGGAAATCTTTCTGACTTGGCTCTTTAATCCTGTATTTTTGAGGCTGCTTTGGGGAGCTTGTTCCTTCCTCACCTGGGGAAGAAAAGGTAAAATAAAAGTAGTTCTGGCTGTCCAAAACTAGGAATGTATTCACATCATCTTCAAACATCGCCAGGAAGCTTCGCCATTTAAAAAGAGCTGGACAAGGTCCTTCAATTGCTATTGCTTCCTCTGCTAACTTCATTGCCACGTGGAGCAAAAATATATGTAACACATGTGAAGGCTATATAAGTCTGCATGTGTTTTACACATTGCATGTCTATGAAATTGCATACCAGAGCAACTGCTATAGAGGAATGAATAGGAGACTGGCTACTTTCCTAAAGAGCAGTCCACACACATACCAGCCTTCAACATCATTAAAACCAGTCAGCCTGAACATCTTTTGCCATTTACTGCAACCTTTAGGTATAAAGGGAGAATTAACAGATAAATATCTAACTTGGTGCCCGAAGACCTGGCTCCCTTCACTCCTCTGACTCCCACCCTGCAAATGTGCACGACAGCAAGGATCTATGGCCTGTTCAAGGCTTTAAATTACAAGACTCATGTGCATTTGCCATGTGCAAATGCATTTCATATTTATCTGGATTATTAATGGTTTAATGAAGGCAATGGCTSTCCGTAGCCTGTCTGCAGAATAGAGCTCAAAGCCCAGCCTGCCTTAGGGTATCACAAGTGCAGAATGAATTCCTCAGTGTCCAATGCCATAGTCCCTGGCATAAAACATTTTGTTTCTTTGTGGATTAATGCTCTGCTCTGTAAACTGGATAGTGTTAACTCGGCATTGCAATCAGCAATGCAAGAGTGAGACTGCATATGTAATAATCACTGAAAAAGGTTTGTTTTAAGTAACGAAAACATGCAGGGACTCAGACTAGCTCTGAATATTTTGTCTTGGAGATGTGTATGTTTCAAGAAAGGAGCACCCAGCTCAGGTGCAGTGAGGTCTTGTTCTGGATTTCAGCTCCAATTCCAGTGTAGGATTGCTGGGACAAAATTGGCATCTGGCATTCAGACCTGCAGTGTCAGTGTGGTCAGGGTCTCTGTTCGCTTCCTATGAGGACAGTAGTGTTTGCTTGGTCTTAACTCAACCACTATGCAGGATTTTATTTCTATTTCTGGCGTGTATTTGGCTTCCACAGTTTGGTGCCTGCAACTCAAAGAAGCAACATGGGAATTACTTAGCCCACAACTGATCTGTCAACGTGCCTGGGTTTCCAAAAGATCAAACCTGATACTCTGAATTGTAATGAGCTAATGGGAAGGGCTTTAATCTTTTATCTGAAATCTTTAATCGGACAGGAACTGAATGTGTGGGTATGATGAAGAGCAGCAAATCTGTCTTATTTTCCACTTCCTATATGTTTTTATCCAAACATTGCCTTAGCATATATGAACTTTAGGTTAACTTTTGTTTGGTTGGTTTTTTTTTTTTTTTTTTACTCTGGTTCTGCCATGCATGTCTTCACCTAGGAATCAGCTCCTGGTAAATTTAGTCTTGGACATAACACTTTATATTCATATTTCAGGGAACAGATACGCCAAGGGCTAGAAGAGCTGCAAAAAGTCCTTCCGGGAGGTGACACATACATGCATGAAGGATTTGAAAGGGTAACTGGCTCAAACAGTGTCTTGAAACCACTTCTGGGTGCTTCTCTGGGTGCTAAAGTTGTTTAATAATTCTAAAGTTGTTTAATAGTTCTGTGATAGGTAAGTGAGGTATCTGCCATGAGTACAACGCTGACAGTGATTGTCATGGGTGCAGCATATACGGCTAATGTTTAGCCTAATGGATCCTGCCACTTACCTGTCTTTTTGCCTTCAGCTTTGCAAAGAGCTACCCCTTTAGTTTAGGAGAGGTTGGATGGAGTTGGCATTGCAATCCCATGTGCAACTGTGCCTTTGGAGGAGTGGAAAGCTGTTCTGCTGGCTGGATGCTGCAGTAGGCTTGTTGGAGTCGTGTGTTGGGCACACCAGGCTACTTCAAAGTAATCGCTTCCGTCTTCTGCTTCTGCATCTTCTAAAAGCTCAGGAGTCCATGTCTCCCTCTGCTGAGGGAGCTTCTCCCCAGGCCCCTTGCCCTTTCTCTGCTGCACTTGTGTTGCAGGATTGACGAACTCTCTGCCTAGTGAAAATAAGTAACTGTCAAGCATGTGGAGAATATCTTCAAGCTGTGAGTAGAACTGGAAGAGATGCTAAAAGCTAACTCCAGAATTTGGTCACTTCCCAGACTTCTCAGGAAAAGTCTGGATGTCAAGTTTAATTTAAGACCACAGAATCTCTTCTTAGTGTTTTGAAAACACAGGGGCCACTTCAGCCTATTGCTTAATTTTGAGTTGATGCCTGCTGAAGCATTGCCCTTCTGCTGCAGAATCCGCTTGTGTGTATGAGAAGCAGAAGTCTATCTCTGCAAATCCCTTATTGGCAATTATAGCCCTTCATCTAGAAGTCCTGGGAAATACTTAGCAATGGCCTTAAGAGCTTTCTGAAGACGGGTGCATGTGTTTGCCAGTTGATTAGCAGGAAACTACATTATTTCTGGCCTTATTTGGAGGGAGGAACGACTGTGAAATCAACAGTGATGTTGCTTTTACCACGAGTGATTAGAGAGGAGCTCTGAATTTTAAAGGAAACTTATTTGAGTAAGATGCAGGCTGCACGCATGACATTCTCACTGTCATCGTGTTCTGGTGCATGTATGGATGTCCATGAAGTTTTATTCTATTATTGCTAATAATCTTTTGATTTAATTTCAGGCAAGTGAACAGATTTACTATGAAAATGTTCACGGTGAGAGACTCTCTTGATCAATTGAATGTTTTTTCCTTCCTGCTTGACTTATCCCTAATTTCTGCCTGTAACTGAGCTACGCTGCAGGAGGGGGTGGGGAGATTCCTGTTCTTACAGAAATTCAATAGCATTTAGGGTAATTTGCCCTAAGGGGGTGGTGGTGGTGGGGAACAGGTGGAGTTTTAAAGACCAAGGTGGAATGACTGTGAGACACCAGGATGATTCAAGGTGCTTCAAGATGTAGGCACCTTGAAACTGTCTAATGTTATCAAAAATCCTTGGTACCTGACTTGTTTCCGTGCTTAAGGACTCAGGCGACCATCTCTTCGTCTTGATATGTGAGATTACAGAGATGCTGTTCCATGCTAGTTTTTCAATAAGCAATTAGTGCTACCAGTAGGAGGTGCAGACAACTGCAAAAATGCTTGTTCCTTCCTATGCTTGTAATTTATGTAAAATATTTTTCTGCGATAGAAAATCCAAATCAAAAATAAAACGTTACTTCTTGAAAACTGAAAGATAAGAGACCAGATGTCTGGGCACAAAAACAGTCCAAATGACTCTTCTGGGCCACTCATGAATAAAACCAAGTACGTGAGCAAGTCTGCATAGACCTGGCACTGATCCATGAAACTTGACAGCAACAGAAAGGGATATATAGCTAGAACGGTTCCTTTTGGCATTGGTAATGCTTTCATGTGCTTAGGCATACTGCATGTGAGCAGGCTGTCACCATATGCAAGAACTGGTGGACAGCTGGGTCCTCAAGCCTGAATGTTGACTCTGCATTTCTGTCCTTGCTCTGAGAGGAGGGTTTAAACCACCTACAGGAGGAGAACAGGCTCCTACAGTAGTCAAGGGAGGGAGGAAGGTACTTTGAACATGTGAGAAATACCCACCTTTCTTCAGACCCAGATTTTTAAATGGGTCTAGGAAAATGGAGTACCCAGATCTGTGTTCTGCAACAACTGAGTGATGGACGTGCATTTAGAACTACTGGACAGTATCTGCCTCACTTCAGTCTCCTGTTCCTTCATGTTAGGAGCTCAGTAGGGGATTCAAGTTCATGCCCTTCATGTCAGAAAGCAAAAAGACCCAGACTAGATAATCTCAGCAGAAGTTGCTTTTCTTCTGATTTTTTTTTCCTTTTCAAGAACAGATCATTAAAGACACAGCTGCTCATAAAGGCAGGAAAATCCCCGTGATGATTTAAGAGAGTCAAAGATTGATAACTTGCAAGATTTGTAGGCACAAGTCTTGACATACTTAAGTCTTCACTTTTCTTAGCAAGGGTTATGCGAGGTGGAACTATGGATCTCCTTCCCATTTGCAGTAAATCTGTTTTCAGAAATGCAATCAAATCCTGGCGCTATAAGCAATACAACAGAGTATGTAATGGTCAGCTATTTTGCCAAATGTGTTATGTAGAAGTGATGAATAGTTGATATTTTTACATTATTTTCCTACCAATGTTATTTAAATTCCAAATCAGGTTTTGGTCACAAGCTGAAGATCTCTTTGTATTTCTTGAGTTGATGCTCTATCAAGACATACCAGTAAAGCTGGGAAATAAGTAGGAATGTTTTGCAGAGTTTCTTGATGGCTACAGCCATCTGCTGGTCTGAAATACTGAAAAAAAATGTACGACATAGTTGGTTTGGAAATAAACAAGCAAGTAACACCTGAAAGGAATATGGGAGAAAAGTGGTTTAGATGTGCACAGGTGGAAAAAGATGTAGGAATTAACATCATCTAACTTAACACAGTTGGCTGAAGAGTGAGGGCATCACAGGTGGTCTTCATCATTGTAATATTTTAAACCTGCTAAGTGGACATTATTTGGTGTAACTTAGTCCCCTGATGTTCTTGAGCAGTGTTTATTAAAGTAGCTTTTTATTTAGGTTACAGAACTGCAAGTGTCATCATTGCACTGACAGATGGAGAACTCCACGAGGACCTCTTTTTCTACTCGGAAAGGGAGGTAAGAATGTCCCTTCCATGTTATTAACCTGGGAGACGGTAAAATATCTGATTTTGCTGCTTCTGAAGCAAAAAATGCGAGAAACCTTTGTCCCTGATGACAAATCTTATTTTTCAGGCTGTTTAGACATGCATTTTAGAGCATATTAAAATCTGTCTTAACAACAGTAACACCTTTGATTCAAAGCTGAGATGGTTTAGAGGAGAGAGAAAAATGGAAAAAGAAAAAGCAGGAGTTCGCCACTGAAAAATGTCAGTTCTTTCTGAAATGTCTTGGGGAATATTTAGATCTTCCCGCTTTGTATTCTGACTCTTTTACTTGCTTTTCCAATTGCATAGATGCTTATCTGCATCTTGAGGACGTTTAGCCTCCAGCAACTTAAATGAGAGGGCTGGAGCTGCCACAGAAGGGAGGTATTAGATGCACCTGGAGTCCTGTTACTGCAGCCAGTGGGGCACTGCTCAGTGACATGGGCACAGGAGTTGGGTGCTCTTGAGCCATCCACGTTAGATACCCAGAAATGAACTTCAAAAAAGATCAGGCTGTCTGCTTTAAAAGCAAAGATTCAAACATGTATTTTCTTACTTTACTTGAAGCACCCTCATTGGTTTGGGGAGAAGCACTTAGCTCTGCTTCTAGTGAGTTGCTTCGGTTCTTCGGGTTCAAGCTTCTCTCTGTAAATTCTTCTTTTCAGGCCAATCGGTCACGTGACCTGGGAGCCACCGTGTACTGTGTTGGTGTGAAAGACTTCAACGAGACACAGGTGAGGGGCATTCGTTGGTTGGAAAGGTTTTGCTTTAACAGCAAAGTGTTTTTCAGAGATAAAAGCTTGATGGGAGCTTGAATGTTTTGTGGAAAGATCTCAGCTTTGTGGAAAAACAGTCAACTTCATTAAAGACATTAATGTGTTGATGCATTTTCTGATTGATGCAGAAGATCAAGATTTCTAAATTGATCATAGTAATTAGTGTCCTTAAAGTATTGAAGTAAGACTGTACCAGACAGGCTATGGGGAGGGAAAGAATTTGGGAAACTCTTAAGAGCCCGATTTATGGAAACAGCTGCATCTTACTCAAGCAGTGGGCAGTTTTAATACCCTAGTTGGAACAAGATGGGGAGGGGAGATAGCCTGGAATCCCTCTTGATGGACACAAACCAGGAGGTTGGCAGTGTCAGGTTTTCACGGAGAAATGGGAGCTTTGCTGCTACTTTTATCCCTGACTGATTGACATGAGTGGCAGAGGTGGAGCCCAGCGGGGTTTAGGGAGGAATGTGTGGCTAGACTGCTGCCTGCAGCTGGCAGTGCTACAGGAAGGGCCAGAAGGGCCTGCTGGATGATGTTACGCCTGCCGTGGGAGAGAATGACTATAACAAATGTTGGCCTCACGGCAGCAAAACTTGGTTCTGCTCCAGCAAGTGCATGGAGAGCTCATTACTTCTGGGGCCTACATTTGGGGCTTAACTCTTACTGTGCTGTTAATGAATGAACCTGCATGGTGCTCTTTGCAGGAGTTAATCCATTTCTCCTTCTCTTCCCTGCCACCACCTTGTTCCTGGCCCTGTTTCTGTTACATACACATTAAAATGACCTCTTACTCCTTTCCCCATTCACACAACATTTCTAGGTATTTCCCTACTGAAATGGCTGAGCCTGGAACAAATGGTCCAACATCTGTCCTGACAGGAAAGCTGAATCAAGCCTAGATTTCTAGATGGGAAAATAACTTGCCCTTTTATTATTATTATTATTATTATTTTCTATATGCAAAAATGCTGAATCGCTTTGATTACCTGCCTGCGTTAAGTGGTGTTTGCCTTAAAGTGCTTTCCTGCATTGGTGATCTGAAAGGTCAGAGCCTTGATGGCAAATTCACATCAGGAACGTTTACACTCATGTAGGAGACTTTTTTAACATTAAAAAAATCATTAGACTCTGGACGTTGGTAAAATCCTTGTTTTGTCTTGCCTTTAAACTTAAGGATTCTTTTTTGATTGCCAATATAGAGCATTCTAAACATAGCCAAACTAAAGGTATCAAGTTTTCAATGCTTGGCAAACTGTAATGCATTAGCAATCCACACTGAGTGCTTAAAGTATTTGTTTTTTTCACTTGCAAGTGGATGAGTCTGAAGAACTCTTAACTTACTGTCTGCTGGCTAATTTATCTCATTCTTTGCGTTTCTGTTTTATTTACTTTTGCTGCTCCGTCAGCTGGCTAGAATTGCCGACAGCAAAGATCATGTCTTCCCAGTGAATGATGGTTTTGAAGCTCTGCAGGGGATCATAGACTCTGTAAGTATTTTTAATCATGTGTTTGCCTGTAGAGTTTATGTTAGGGTGACCATTTGAAAGCCAAGTTTTCCTGCATTCACAGGGACCTAGTGATTTCCCCTAAGGCACTCAAAGGTTTGGTGTCAAGAAATTAACTTCTGTTTGGACTCATTTTGCCACTTCAAGATTGAGTCCATAAGCAGGTCACAATAGAGGAAGCTTTGAGTGCTTCTCTGGTTTCTTTTCCCTGAAAGAAACCAATCTACCTGGAGCGCAAATATTTCAGTCTTTCTATGTCTCTCCCTTCTTAGCAGGAAGTACATGTTTGAATGGACATTGCTACAGTTAATTAAAAGGCTGCTACTGTCTCAAAAGAAGCAGAATGAGGATTAGGTTTCAGATTGGGTCAGCTGAGAGGTGATAGAACAGACTCCTTTACATGAAGAATTTGGGAACTCGTTGGTCTTTCCATCCTTTTGCTTGCTTAGCATCCTGTCCATCTTCATGGATATGCTTCCCTTCACTTAGCTAAGGCATTTTACTAAAGGACATGTGTACCATTTTTATATTCCAAGTGTAAAATGTGCCAAGCATTTGCTAGGAAACGGTATGTTTTCACATTGCTTTCTGTACTTTTTCCTTTACTTGGTGGTATCCAGTAACCACTCTAATTAGATTCACTTTCCCATAACTATGGAGGAAGATGGGAGATCATTTGGGGGACATGTGTTATGTTCATTTTGGTATAGGCTTCTTAGCTGATAAAACACAGATGAATTTTACAATTTTCCACTTCAAACTAGGAGGGTATCTTCACCAGGGGGGCTCAGGTTTCTGTGTTCACAGCAGTCGCACACTCTTCTGACCACGTAAACCAAGCAAAGCTGTTCCCTCAGCTCAGGCTCAGTTTTCCCTTGCGCTCTCGGATGTAGGTGGAATTAAATCTTTGGTTATAATCCTGGCACTTTCCAAGTGTGCAGCTAGTGCCTCAGTTCTCTTGGACAGTCAGGTGTTGCTTGCCATTTCAGAAAACAAACAAAACAACTAAAAACACTATTTTGCTTCCCAGCCTCGTATTCCCTTTGTAGCTGTTATTTAAAGAATTCCAGCAGCAGTTCTAACTTCCTTTGCCGTTATGCTTCCCAGAATGGGAAGCCTTCAGCCTCCAAGAACCTAGTTGAGACATGCTTTGGCTGGTGCCAGGTTTACCAGCTTTGGAAAGGGGGGTTACAAGGAGGTAAGCACAAGCACAGAGAGCTTGGACCTGATCTCTTGCTAGCAGCAGGGTTGTGCTGTGGAGTGATGAGTAGAAACAAGGTATGCAAAAGGAATGGTGAGAAGGATGTTAGTTACTTTCTGGAATACTGGACTGAAGATAAAAAAAGAGAATTGTCATGAACCTCTGGAAGGCCAAGTACAAGAAGGGTAGTGATGATATTATGCTTTATTTTAGGCAGCTGTTAAAGCTTCACCAGCAAATATTTATACTGTAAGTGTCTGGCAGAGGTGATCAGAGTCCATGCATACGAGGTGCATGAGATAGCACTGCCGTTGGCAAGGCACATATTTTGTCTGTACAAAATACATACTGTGTGTAAATATGCAAGGCAGCATACACGTACAGCACACAACTTTAGAAACTCCTTCTGCAGTCAGCAAGGGAGGAGAGCATCCCCAGAGGGAAGTTCAGAGCAGGAGCTTCACCTTGGTATTCTCAATCTGGTTTCTGTTGGTCTGTCTTCTTTCTGCATCAGCCAAAGAGAAAGTCAGCAGCTCAAAGCATCTACCTCAACCTATCTAAGCAAGGGTTGTGAAACCCTCAGTCCTGCTGTATAGTGTTTCTGTGTTGTGTTATAGAGGCGGATGATCACACTTTCTACTTCCTCCTGCTTGCCCCCAGTGCAGCTTTAAAAATGACCTAAGTAAAATAAATGCATTCTTTAGCTCGTGTAGATATTATTGGCCAGGAAACGCTTCATAAAGTGAATTATTTTGTAATTGGCAACAGACTTTGCTATTCGGTGGCTCAGCAGAGCCTGATATTATGAGTACCCAGCCTCAGGTCGTTCACTCTAATGCTGATGGGCAGTAAGCAGCCATTAAATGTCTACATCCTGTTTGCTAATGAGAATTCCCCAATTCAATTAAAAATTAATAAGTGATGTCCAGCTGCTGTAGTGAGGCACTCTGGCTCCATGTTCCCGGCCCCGTGTACCGAGTAAACCTTGCAGCAGCTTCAGGATTTCATTCCCTTAATTTCCCAATGGACCTCCAGGGTCTTGCTGGATTTTTGGTCTTCAATGTTCGTTGCCTGCCAGAAAACCATGTTAGTCACGGGCGCTGCTAAAGCCAATTCCCCCTTGCTCAAGGGAGACCTATGACAAATAATGCTGTTTCACACACTCATAGGGATTTGTGATATTTTGTATTTGGAGTGTCAGCAGATATTAAAATGATTCTCCCAGGAGCCCATTTGAGGCATCAAAAGTGAGCACATACTTGGACAGTCCTGCACGATGCCCCAGGGGAAGCTGCCGTAAGGCTGTGCAGTTAGATACTAAGTAAACCAAAACTGGAGCGTGGCCGATGTCTTTAATGAAAATAGGTTATTTTGCTTTGCTGAGGAGCGAGCCCAGAGTTGGTGAGGTGTACGTAGAGCTCACAGAAGGTTGCCCAGCCTTCAGGAAGGAGAGGAGCAGAATAGCTGATGAAATCCCCTGCCTTCAATAAAATAAAGTCCTTTTGAATATGTTTTTATAAGAATGAAGAGGCATAAAGGAATTCCTTTGCCATAGTTACTGCTGCCTGATCTTCATTTAATAAAGTTATGGTGCTTGGAGGCTTGCAATCTTTGATACTCTAAATCAAAACAAATATTGCAACTGGCACTAAAAAAGCTGTTAGGGCCAGTGTTTTATTACATTCATGTAAAAAGACCGGCCTAGTGGAGAGGGAGCTTTGCATCTTCCAAATGGGACACCTGCTCTTCCACTCCCATCAGAGCTGGCTCATAGCATGATTGTTTGCAAAGAAATGACTGAACAGAGCTCAGGAAATTCAAACTGCTAGTTTTGTGTAGGTTTATTTTTAAAAGTTTTTTTTTTTWWAAAAAAAAGAAAAAGATTGTTGTTGAGTTTTTCTTATTTTCCTTTTCCAACCCCTTTGACTCTTCTTTTTAACTTTGTTGCTGAAAGTCAATGAAGAAGAGAAGAGAAAAAATATATGTGATAATTCAAAAAGCAGTTTGGGAATGCTAGAGGTGACAGGAGCAAAACCTAAAGGGGAGCTGGACAAAAGTGAAAAGAATGCATTTGTAAATGAGATCTTTGACAGTGGAAACAGGAGAGTACCCAGCCCTTTGTTGCGCTCATGAGCCACAGGATGGATGCACTGATAGCTTCAGATAATGTTGGAACAATTCTTATTTCTTGCCTCTTCTTTTTCTTGTTCTGCCTTTCAAGTTATTCTAGTGCTTTGCAGCTCTCAACTGCTGCCTGTCCCTTTCTTTTTCTCTTGACAGTTACTGTGTAGCCTCCTTGTTCCTGCAAGGCTTCTCTCTTTCCTCACTGTCAGACTGCCAGCGGCTCCGACGGTCCAACTTACTTCAGTCCTTTGGTATCCTTTCCGCTTCCACGAACCCTGAGTAACTCCAGCTTTTGTTAAAACGTTTGGTGTTGCGCTTTTTCTTTTGTTAAAGAGAACTTCATTGCTGTGCCGATACTTCTAGCACCGAGGTATTTTGGAGGTGGAGCACCATGGTTGCACAGGAATACGAGATGCCTCTTTTCCTAAAGAATTTATCGTGTTGGTTGCTGTTCTTTCCTTACAGATGTTTCAATTTAAAGTTGGGAAAGTGATTTCTGTGTTGGATTTGAGTCATGATGCTTGGCTGACATTTACTTGCCTCTTGGAGCTGACCTAAATTTTGGTCGCTGTTCACTCGTCCCGGGGCCGCTCAGCCCAGTGCTGCGTCCTCACAGCTCAGTTACTGCGCTCCTCTCACCGGGGCTTGTGGAAGCCGCTGACTTTGACCGTGCAGATAAGAACTTGCCTTAGTCTTGGTAGCAGGAGAAAGGCTGTTGCTTGCAAATAACAACTTGAGCACTCCTAACAGCGTGAGAATAGACACTGTGCAAACAAGTTGTGCCCCTCTCGACTTGCAAGCCATTTGCCAAGTGTGAAGTATTGGTTTAAATCGCTATCTGTGTGTAAAAGGCAGTGCCAACCCTTACAAAGACATACTGCTTAGTTTAAGCCTGTTTCTAACTGATTTAATCTGAGTGCAAAGAAAAATAAACCAATGAATGCCTGTATATCCTGATTTGAAATGACAATGAGATTCTGAGGGTGCGCTTGGACGCACTTGGCTAACAGTGAAAAGTGAAGTTGACCTAATAGTTAAAGACTTGATTTACAGTCTTAGGATGGGTAAGAATGAGTGTGGGTGCTCTCCCTCAAGATTYAAGCTTTGTGCCTTTATAGAAACCATTTGAGCTACTCCATTCAAATTTCTTTTATCTTCTAGATTTTGAAGAAATCATGTATTGAAATTCTGGCTGCAGAGCCTTCCAGTATATGTGCAGGGGGTAAGTGTAAATTGAGGTCCCAGTCATTAGTCATTTACGCTGCCTAAAATGCTTATACCAAGAGTCAGCTGTATATTACCTGCATGTGATTACAGTAGTTTGTCTTTTGAAGACAAGAGGGCATAATTGATGTGAATGTATTTTGTACTGCAGGGAAGGGTTGATGTGATGGCTACGTGGTACCTTGCTTTCACCGGAGGCCCCTTTTGCACTGTAGTCTGATGCTAGACAGGATGATGCACCTTCAGCACATCACATCTGTCTGAAATGGTCTGGTTTTGTATCAGTGCAGAGATGTGGGGCTTGTGCTGGATCTGTTCATTTTGGTCCCAAACAGAGACAGGGTCATCGTGTCTTTGGGTCATCATCATGTCAGGGTCATCATCATCTGACCTCACTGATAACCTGTTCTTTAACTTGAACTCTCAGTTTCAAGCAGTTGAGACTTCTTGGATTTCTTATAAGGAATTTTTCAGCCCCCGACCCCAAAACAGAGCACTTTCTCCCCTGTTCTTCCCAAATGCACTTGGACACATCACGGGCCTGTGAGGCAGCTTCCCTGGCTAGATGTGATGGGATGCTTTGCAGCTTGGCTGTAACCAAGTGAGACCTGGAACGGAGCCCAGATTCCTGACCAAATATACTCTCTTGACAAGTACAGTGTGCAAGTCCTTAAGGGAGATGAAAGAAGGTGACTAAAGTGCAAGGAAAAAAAAAGCTTTGAATCAGCAAAAATCAGGTTCGATGTTGCTGCTGGAATTTTTATAACTGTGGTGGTGATTTTGATGTGCTGAGTGCTCCAGCAGTGTCTGACCGTGAAATGCTCTACATGTTTGATACCCATTCACAGAAGAAAGGAGGAGGAAGACCTGTAAATAGCAGCAGGGATTTTCTGTGAGTGTCTCCTTTTAGCTGGTAACAGGAGAGAGGGCAGCTGGTTTCTTTGCTCACAGCAAAGTGCCACGGGAAGCTGCAGAAACTGAGCCCTTATGCTTGTTTGCTCCCAAAACTTCTGGGATTATGGCCCTGTTTCACCAGGGATGATGGCTGCTGCAAGAGTGTAAACCTTACCCAGTACTAGATTCGAGGATTTGGAATATACCAAGAAAGAGGATTATAGAGAGGGGTCTGACAGACTTGAGGAAATGATCTCTTTTCTCAGACATAAAATGGTGTTCTGGGTGGTGCGGAGCCTCTGAGACTAAATGTTGTACTGCAGGTCAGTTAAAATGCTTGTTTTTGGAACCTGGAAAAAGTACAAATTGAAATGGGGGTCAGGGGATGGAAATTCCATTTTTAACTTTTTGAAACTGAAAACTTTCAAAATTGCAAATTTTAGCTTAAGACCTCACAAGTGAAAACTTCCAACAGACTTAATTTGTCTACATGACCATTCTTTGTCCTGATAGAGCGCCAATAATCTGCTGTTTCTTTTCCTGCAGAGTCGTTCCAGGTTGTCGTGAGAGGAAATGGATTTCGGCATGCCCGCAACGTTGACCGAGTGCTCTGCAGTTTCAGGATCAATGACACAGTTACTCTCAGTAAGCTCTATTGAGATTTTTCTTCTCCTGACCTCCTGCACTGGTAGGCAATATAGAAGGCGTTGGCTGAGTAACCTGAAGGCCAAAGGCAGTTTTTTGGGAAGAAGACTGGCTTCTATTTTTCCTCCTCCTGGTAAAATAGATGGGTTGATGTTCTTAACTGTATATTGCCGTTAATAAAGAGCAGAGTCCCTTCTTGAAAGCTTCACGGGGTTTCAGCAAGCATATAGTACAGGTGAAACTGCATCCTGGACGCTAAAGGGGCTTGAGCCTATTCTGCCAGGATGTGCATTAACAACTCTCACCCAGAGAGCTAAGAACAAAATGCATTTTACCAGTATTGCAGCTCTAGGCTGCAACCTAAAGAACATCCAGGCACTGAAGTGAGAACAAGAGTAAAAGAGAGCCCTGTCATCTCAG